ATGGAGTCATAAGAAATTCACCAGGAAATTCAGGAATTGGATTGTTATGATGATATTCCAGAAGATGATAACATGATTGTCATTGAATAAATGAGTAAATTCTTGATACTGTAGGATTCACAGTTTGTCTGGTTTGTGTTGACAACTACCATACTACCGTACTGTATTACAGGTAATAAATTTCCTTTATTTTCATTTAACAATAAATGTGTACCATATTCTTCTTCATGGAAAAATAAAACACCCCCTGAAAATAAGACCTAGCACATCTTTGGGAGCAAAAATTAATATAAGACACTGTCTTATTTTTGGGGAAACAGGGTAGAAGCCATATGGCCTCTATCAAAACTAGTGACTGCTATTGTAGTATACTGGAAAGCAGTCAGGAACCATACATAATCTAATATGTGTGTGTTCCAGTGAAATATTATATACAGAAACAGGCAACCTGCTTGCAGGTCATAGTTTGCTGACCCCATTCCTTTAAAAAGGTTTTAAAATATATTAAATACATTAAAAATATATTAAAAATATATTTTATTGATTCTTTACAGAGAGGAAGAGAGAGGGAGAGTCAGAAACATCGATGAGAAAGAATCATCAATCAGCTGCCTCTTGCACAACCCCTACTGGGGATGTGCCCGCAACCAAGGTACATGCCCTTGACCGGAATCGAACCCAGGACCTTTCAGTCCACAGGCTGAAGCTCTATCCACTGAGCCAAACCGGTTTCGGCGACCATTAACTTTTTTTTTTTTTTAAATATATTTTATTGATTTTTCAGAGAGGAAGAGAGAGATAGTTAGAAACATCGATGAGAGAGAATCATCGGATCAGCTGCCTCTTGCACACCCCCTACTGGGGATATGCCCACAACCAAGGTACCTGTCCTTGCCCGGAATCGAACCCGGGACCTTTCAGTCCACAGGCCGAAGCTCTATCCACTGAGCCAAACCGGTCCCGGCAACTTTTTAAAATATATATTTTATTTATTTTTTACAGAGAGGAAGGGAGATAGTTAGAAACATTGATCAGCTGCCTCCTGCACACCCCCTACTGGGATGTGTCCGCAACCTTGTGCCTTGACGGGAATCAAACCCGGGACCCTTCAGTCAACAGGCCGATGCTCTATCCACTGAGCCAAACCGGTTTTGGCAAGACCATTAACTTAAAAAAAAAATTTAATAAGCCAAAACCGGTTTGGCTCAGTGGTAGAGCGTTGGCTTGCAGACTGAAAGGTCCCAGGTTCAATTCCGGTCAAGGGCATGTACCTTGGTGGCGGGCACATCCCCAGTAACGGGTATACAAGAGGCAGCTGATCGATGTTTCTCTCTCATCAATGTTTCTAACTCTCTATCCCTCTCTCTTCCTCTCTGTAAAAAAATCAATAAAATATATATATTTTTTAAAAATTAATAAATCTTTATTGTTCAAATTATTACAATTATTTCTCCCCCTCCCCCCATAGCTCCCCTCCACCCGGTACCCACCATACCCTCTACCGTTACCTCCCTCCCCCCCCATCCACATCCATAGGTGTATGATTTTTGTCCAGTCTCTTCCCGTACCCCCCCCCCCCGACAGACATCCCTTCCCCCTGAGAATTATCAATCCACTCCCATTCTATGCCCCTAATTATATTATATTCACCAGTTTATTCTGTTCCTCAGATTTTTAATTCACTTAACTTTTAGATTCACTTGGTGATAGATATGTATTTGTTGTTCATAATTTTTATCTTTACTTTTTTCTTTTTCCTCTTTTTAAAGAATACCTTTCAGCCGAAACCAGTTTGGCTCAGTGGAATAAAAGGTCCCAGGTTTGATTCCGGTCAAGGGCATGTACATTGGTTAGGGACACATCCCTAGTCGGGTTGTGCAGGAGGCAGCCGGTTAATGTTTCTCTCTCATCAATGTTTCTAGCTCTCTCTCTCCCTTACTCTCTGTAAAAAAATCAATAAAAATAAAAAATAATACCTTTCAGCATTTCATATAATACTGGTTTGGTGGTGATGAACTCCTTTAGCTTTTTCTTATCTGTGAAGCTCTTTATCTGACCTTCAATTCTGAATGATAACTTTGCTGGGTAGATCTTGGTTGTAGTTTCTTGCTATTCATCACTTTGAATATTTCTTGCCACTCCCATCTAGCCCGCAATTTCTGTTGAGAAATCAGCTGATAATCGTAAAGGTGTTCTCTTGTAGGTAACTATTTTTCTCTTGATGTTTTTAATATTCTCTTTGTTTTTTGCCCTTGGCATTTTAATTCTATGTCTTGGTATGGTCCTCTTTGGATTCCTTTTGTTTGGATATTGAGTACCTTTTTATGTTTGCTGGAAAAAAGTCAAGTCCTTTGTCTGTTTTTTGATGGGCATATTTTTAATTGGAAATCTTTTCAAATTCTTGCTTTCCATTTTTGGGGAGTGAAAATTTATGGGTCATATAGTAATTCTATGTTTAATTTTTGGGGAACTGCCAAACTATCTTCTACACGGCACTATTATATGAGGGTTCCAATTTCTCCACATCTTCACCAACACTTATTTCCTTTTTCTTTAATTATAGCCATCCTAGTGGGTGTGAAATGCACCTCATGTGGTTTTAATTTGCATTTCCCTAGTGACTAATGATATTGAGCATCTTTTCATGTGCTTGTTGGCCATTTGTCTTTGGAGAAATGTCTGAGTCCTCTGCCCATTTTTTAATTGGACTCTCTTTTTGTTGTTGTAGGAAGTTTGCTGTAATATTCTGGATATTAAACATTTATCAGATTTACAATCTGCAAATATTTTGTCCCATTCTGTGGACTGTTTTTGCACTTTCTTGATAATGTCCTTTGATGCACGGTTTTAAATTTTAGGAGGCCAATGCCTTATCCATTAGGTGACTGGGGCTTCTACAGTTTTAAATTTTGTTGAGGCCAGATTTATTTTTTCTTTTGTTGTTAATCTTTTGGTGTGAAATCCAAGGTCATGAAGAATTTTATGTGTTCTCTTCCAGAAGTTTTGTGATCTTAGCCCTTATATTTAGGTTACTGATCCACTTTGAGTCAATTTTTACATGTGGTATGAAGCAGAGTTTCACTTCATTCTTTTTCATGTGGAAATGCGTTGTCCCAGCACCATTTGTTGAAGATACTTTTTTTTCCTCTATTGAATGGATCCGGCACCTTTGTCAAAACTTAATTGGGCATAATTAAACTGGAACTCTATTTGTTTCCACTGATCTATATATCTGCCTGTATCCCCAAAACCACAGTTTTGTTTACTGTAGCTTTGTATAACTTTTGAAATTGGGAAGCATGAGTCCTCCAACTTTGTTCTTTTTCAGTATTGTTCCGGCTATTTGGGGCCCAAATTGCCCCTCACAATTCCATGTGAATTTGAGGATTTGACTTTTCCATTTCTGCAAAAAAGGCTGTAGAAACTTTAACGGATAATCCATTGAATCTTTAGATGGAGTGTGAGTGGTATTGCCATCTTAGCAATATTAAGTCTTCCAATAAATATGGTATGTCTTTTCATTTGTTTAGGTCTTCTTCGATTTCAGCAACATTTTGTAGTTTTCAGTGTACAAATCTTTCACCTCTTTTGTTAAATTTATTCCTGGGTATTTTATACTTATTTTACATTTTATTATAAATGGAACTGCTTTCTGAATTTCCTTTTTAGATTATTTATTGCTAGTGTTTACAAACATGACTGATTTTTGTGAATTGATCTTATACCTTACAATTTTGTTGACTATGATTATTATCTGTTATGACTTTCTTGTGAATTCTTTGGGATTTCTTTTATACATTGGATCATGTCATCTACAGAAACTGATAGTGTTACTTTTTCCTTTGGAATTTAGATGCCTTTTATTTCTTATTTAACTAACATCTCTGACTAGAATTTCTAGTGTAGGGTTGAATTGCAGTAAAGCATGCATCTTTGTCTTGTTCTTGATCTTATAGGTACAGCTTTCCCTTGCTCTCCCTGAAATGGTTTCCAAGCCATTTCAGTTTTCCCAAAGTCTGAACTCTGCCTCTTCAGCCCAATGGAAATCACTCTGCTCAAACTTTTTTTTTTTTTTCTGCTCAAACTTTTGTCCTCTGCACTACAGTTAGGAAATTGTCCCCAAGTAGAGGATCTAAGTGATATTGGGGCTCACCTCATGAGTTTCCTCTCAGTGAGCAGTCTTGTGCTTCCTGTTGACTTCTGCCTGAAAGTAGTTGCCTCAAATATTTTGTCCACTTTTACAGTTGTTTATGGTAGGAGGACTAGTTTGATGTCTCCCTTTAAAAAAATTTTTTTTATATATATAAATTAATTTTTTACAGAGAGTAAGAGAGAGGGATAGAGAGTTAGAAACATCGATGAGGGAGAATCATGGATGAGAGAGAATCATCGATCTGCTGCCTCTTGCACACCCGTTACTGAGGATGTGCCTGCAATCCAAGTACATGCCCTTGGCCAGAATCGAACCTGGGACCCTTCAGTCCACAGGCCGACGCTCTATCCAACGAGCCAAACCGGTCAGGCCATGGTTGGTCTTTTCACTGTTTCTGTTGAAGTAAGCCCTCTTAAGCTGTTTATACTTTGACAGAAAATAGGGTAACTGGAAAAAGCTCACACCCTCTGGTAGCAACTGTGAAAATCAGTGCCTGATAATCTCTTCTAGAGAGTTCAGCCTCCACGAAGATACCACGGATTAGGAATCACACGAACAGTCGCTGCCTGGAGCTTTTATTTTTTAACCCGATTCTTCACAGGCTCACCTCTGGATGGGTGCTGTGCGGGTGGATTGCCAGGATGCCTGGAGACTCAGAACTCGGTTTCCAGGGAAGCCGCATTTTTCGAATTGGATCGGGTTACCGCGTTGCCCGGCAGTAGCGTATCCCGCTCCGGGTTTCGCGTTCCAGTCGCGCGTGCGGTGACGCGACCGGCGCCCCAGTGACGCAGTGCGCGGCGCAGTGCACGCTGGGATATTTAAGTCTTCTCCGCGGCGCGGAGCCGCGATGTCTCCGGCGGCTGCGGCGCCTGGAGGAGGCGAGCGGCGGCGGCCCATAGCGAGTGCCAGGGACTGCCGGGGCCGGGGCTGGGGGTGCGGCGGGGCGGCGCTCCTCGGCCTGTCGCTGCTCGGCCTCGTCCTGTACCTGGTGCCGGCGGCGGCCGCGCTGGCCTGGCTGGCCGTGGGGGCTACCGCGGCCTGGTGGGGACTGAGCCGCGAGCCCCGCGGTTCGCGCGCCTTCTCCTCGCTCGTTCGGAACGCGCGGCGTCAGCGAATACTGTTCACCTCGTCTCCGGCCAAGTCGGCGGTAAACGGAAACCTCCTAGAGCCGCGGACCCCGCTCCAAGGACCCGACCCCGCTGAACTGCTCCTTATGGGCAGTTACCAGGGCAAGCCCGGCCCCCCGCAGCCGGCCCCCGTTCCGGAGGCCAGGAACGTGCGGGAGAGGCAGACCCGCCGCCTTCCCACCCGCACCTCGCCGCCGCCGGGTCACTCGGTTCATCGCGTTCATCACATTCACTCCTCTCACCCCACTCCTCTTTTTGGACCCCCCAGGAGGCCCACCCACAGGTAAGATACGCTGATCTTCCCCAGACCCCTCCTCTCTCTGTCGACGGGCTTTGAATTGAGGACTTGACTTTAAATCCGGTTTTCTTTCAAGCCCAAGGTAGATTCTGTGACGTTTGACCTCTTTTAAACCTCTTGGTGCATGTCAACCGTTCCCCATCATCACCCCCGCTCCCCCCATTTAACCTTGGGAATGAGATGGGTTGCCACAGCTGATCCCTTCCTTCCAATTCTTAAAACTGAATTTTAGTACAGTATAGATTTAGCAGAATACTTGTTAACATTAAGATACCCCTACTTCGGGGAAAAATATCTTTATCTTTCGAGTGTAGTCATATAGTAGTGTGTGTGTGCTATATATTATACATGTTATATATATATATATTATATATATGTGTTACATACATATATGTATTATAAATATAGTATATGTATTTTGGACCCATAGAGAAATTTTATCAGTTTAGCTGAGCTCAAAGAGGAAACACTTCTTCCATTGATAAAATTTGATAAAGATGATCAAATTAAGACCCTTTCATTTAATCTCAATAGCGAAGAATACAAAAAATTTGATGAAAATAGGTTCTTTTTTTAATGTTTTTTATTTTTAGAGAGAGGGATGTATCATATATGTGTATATATATAAAATCTATATATATAATCTGTATGTATAATCTACATATATAAAATCTATATATAAAAGGCTAATATGCAAAGTGACCCCTCTGGACTTCCATCGCTCGCTATGATATGTGCTGACCACCAGGGGCGGCATGGAATGGACGGACGGTCCCAGCCAGCAGTCAGAAGGCCCCAATTGGCCCCAATCACCAGCCAGGCCTAGGGATCCTACCCATGCACAAATTTCATGCACCGGGCCTCTAGTAGAGAAAATTATCAGTGATCAATGGGCTGCCTCCTACATGCCCCCCACAAGGGAAGGAGCCTGCAACCTGGTCATGTGCCCTGACCAGGAATCAAACCAGTGACCTCTTGGTTCCTGGGTTGACTCTCAACCACTGAGCCATACCAGCCAGACATAAGGTTCTTGATAAGTAAATTTAGTTGAGAAGATGAACATTTAGGTGTTGAAAAATATTTAACTCCGGTACATTACTGATGATTTATTGAAAAGATTGAAGGATTTTTGAAGTTTCTCCCTACATGTCCTGATACACACTTTTCTTCCATTGTAGTTTTGCTTGTGTGGGCAGGGTTTTCAATTTCCCTCTCAAATTGTTGAAGTTCATAGTAGGGATGGCTTTTATAAACAGCTGCCACTTTCTGCCTCTAGATGGAATGATGTGGGAAGTTACCATAAAAATTCTGTGTTTTGTATTGCTTAGAGGTTTAAGCTTTCTAGAAAATATCTGACCCCACATAGTTTTTTAGTCAGTTAATTTTCTGACATTCTTTTAAGCATTTTGGTTCCATAATATGTCTCCTATTCTCCACAGGGATTGTGGAACTTTATCAAATCGATTTTTAATAACACCTCGAAGACACTATCCAATTCAACAGGCCCAATATTCCTTTCTGGGGGTACTTCCCACAGTGTCCTGGAATGGTTATCACAAGACTGTGCTATCCCCTCATAATTCCAAGATGGTGTGCAGTCCAGTGACGGTGAGGATTGCTCCTCCTGATAGCAAATTGACTCGTTCTCCCATGTAAGTATTATTGTTGGAAAATAGACTCCTTTTTGTGTCCACTTTATTCTTCCAGGATTATTTCTTTGACAAGTACTATTAAGAAGAAAAAAAAAGAGGGAGGGAGGTGGGTACCTGTGTGTTTAAATGAGAAATCTCAAATTTGAGTCATTGAACTCTCTCTTATTTTCTTGTGTTTTTTTGTTTGTTTGTTTGTTTTGTTTTTGCCTTACATTGTAGCTTTAATTGCTAAGGGCATTTTCTGTGAATGTATAAATTACACTGTTGCTTATAAGCTAGCTTTTGATTTTCAATGAAGATTGTGCTATATGACAAGGTAATTAAAATATCTTAAGACTAGAATCTTGTCTTTCATTGCAGAACAGAGCAGTTAATTAGCTCAACACTGTCCTCACCATCGAGTAATGCTCCAGACCCATGTGCAAAGGAGACTGTACTGAGTGCCCTCAAAGAGAGGAAGAAAAGAACAGTGGAGGAAGAAGAACAAATAGTCACCGATGGCCAGGAAAATAAAAGAAGGTAACAGGCTCAGCAGAGCACTAACCAGGCCTCCCACATAGATTCCTGTGATTTGTTGAAATGCAGATTACTCCCAAAAAGATTACAGAGGCCCACTCCAGTTTGTAAGCCTTAGTAGGTCCCCTTCTTTGGCTTTCATGGAAGAGCTTAATAATGCTGACAGTGAGGCTCTCATGCTGTTCATTTCAGGGTTAGGCATAGGTTAGGTGAATGTTATAATTTACCTTTCTCTAAGTCAGTGGTTCTCAACCTTTCTAATGCCACGACCCTTTAATACAGTTTCCTCATTTTGCTACCCACAGGTTGAGAACCGCTAGCAGGGTCGCCTAAGACCATCGGAAAACATACATATTTATATTACGATTCATAGCAGTAGTAAAATTACAGTTATGAAGTAGCAACGAAAATAATGTTATGGTTGGGTGTCACCACAACATGAGGAACTGTATTAAAGGGTCGCAGCATTAGAAAGGTTGAGAACCACTGCTCTAAGTATTGGGATAAGCCTCATACTTTTGATACAGATGTGTTAAATTCTGTTTTTGAGAAAAAACGTTCAAAGGCTTACCCTCCTAATCTTGTGTTGTTTAGTTATCTGGATAACCACCAGTTTAAATGTGTAATTGTGCTGAAGGGAATGCTTGACAAAGGAAAGTGTAAACTAGAGTATGGTAGATTTATCAGTAGAGTAAAACCGACTTCATTATTTGGTGTTCAATAACTTAAGGAAAATGAAATAAGGACTCTTTCCTTAGTATGGTAAGAAAGGAGTTTGAAGTCACTAATGAGAATGCAGAATTGCTTGTGGCTTTCTAAGTAGTTAAGAATTCCCCTCATTTTTTTTAATATAATAAATTGAGCAACCACAATGTGCCAGAGCCTATTCCAGATACTGTGGATAGAGCAGTGAACAAAACTAAGTCCTCTTGGACCTCTTAGAGGGAAGAAACAAAAAGGGAGAGGATATTAAAACAAGGTTTAGATTATAAGTGTATAGAAATTTTAAAAAATTGGGTGATAGAAATTTTAAAAAGGGGGGTGAGATATATATATCTATATATCTATCTATCTATATACACACACACACACACACACATAAAAAAAACATGGTAATGAGAAGGCAGCTTCTTTATATGAGGTGGTCAAGGAATTGCTCTTCTGTATATGAGTGAACCCTTGGAATTGCTCTTCTGTATATGAGTGAACCCTTGAAAAATATAATCATTATTCCTATTACCTAAACCAAATTATTCATATCCTACAGGTTCAGGGTTGTCCATCTTTGCTACTTTAGATAACAAAATTAAGTAGAGAAATATTAATCAATGCAAGTGTATTTAACACTAAGGGCCTGGTCCATGAAATTTGTCCCTCAGCCCAGCCTGCTCCCTCTCACAGACTGGGAACCCTCAGAGGATGTCCTACTGACGGCTTAGGCCTACTCCCAATAGGGAGCTAGTCTAAGCCACAATCTGGCCTCCCTCTGCGGGAGGCAACTGAGGCACTAGCCCCATCATCCCACTGCTGCAGCCATTGCCAGTCACCACAGCTGCCAAGGTGTTTTCATCAACATGGACTCCAGTCCTTTCACCGTGAAAAAATAACGTTTTTTAGGCATTTTCAAAATGTGTCTTTCATAAGATATGGCATTTCTTTTTATTTTTTAATCCTCACCTAAGGATGTTTCCATTGAATTTTAGAGAGTGTTGAAGAGAGAGAGAGGGAGAGACAGAGAGAAACATCAGTGTGAGAGGAACACTTTGGTTGCCTCCTGCATGTGCCCTGACCTGGGCCTCAGCCAGGGAGGATCCTGTAACCTAGGTACATGTCCTTGATCAGAATTGAACCCGAACCCTGTGGTCAGCAGACCGAGGTTCTATCCACTGAGCCAAACTGGCTAGGGTAAGATACGACATTTCTTAGCCCCTCCAGCAGCAGACCTTCATTTTTTTCTCCAGGAGTGTGGTGGAAAAACCCTATATCACCTTCTTGGATTCTTACTACCCAAGTTACCAAGAACACTGCAAGTGGTGGCGTACAGGAAGCTTAGCCAATGAGCAGTCAGAAAAAGTGTTTATGCTCGAACTGGTTTGGCTCAGTGGATAGAGTGTTGGCCTGCAGACTGAGGGTCCCAGGTTTGATTTCTGTTAAGGGCATGTACCTTGGTTTGGGGCACATCCAGTGGATAGTGTGTAGGAGGCAGCTGATCAATGTTTCTCATCGATATTTCTGACAGTCTATCCCTCTCCCCTCTTCTCTGTAAAAAGTCAATAAAATATATTTAAAATAAAAAAGAAGGTATTTCCTCTGCAGCCCATGTGCAGAAGATCCCCTGCATAGTGTCCACAGGGCTAGGGGCATGTCCTCCCACATTCACTGTGTCCACCAGGCTGGGGGATGTGGACCCAGGCTGCTTGGCTCCCCCAGCCACTTGTCCTGCTCAATGCCCATATATGCAAATTAATCCACTATCTTTGTCAGATTAATTTGCATACTCCTGATTGGTTGGTGGGCATTACAGAGATAGTCAATTTGCATCTTTCTCTTAATAGTGTAGCTAGGAAGATCAAGTTATGATGAATAGAGATGTGATTTATAAGTGAGCAATTTGAGCTAATGTCAACTAGCTAAGCAGGAATGACAGGAGGCAGGGGTGTGGAGATGGGAGAGGAAATAACCATTCTTATGGTCCCAGTAGGTTTTTCATGTTCTTAGGAATGGGTAGTTTTACTTGACCCTAGTGAGTCTGTAACTGAAGATTCTATAGTTATCCTTCCCATAATTGTAATAATCAATGATTATGTGCACCATGCATAGCCCTTCTTAAATGTGAGACGTAAAGTTTTCCCCTAACAGACTTAACATATTAACCTCTAGATCACTATGGGATGTGTGGATTGGTTCCTAAAATGTTTTTTGTTTTGTTTTTAATTTGTGAATGTAGGGTGTTAAATTTGTGATTGTAATAATTAATACACTGAATAGTTCTAAAGGTCTTGATGTAGAGTAAGTCTTAACATTGTTGATAGGTTCTTAGAAACTGTGACAATATATAACAAAATCTATTTTCCCCTAGGCTAATTGATATAAACAATAGTTAAATTCTTATGGTCATCTCATCAACATTATAATGAAATGACATTGAATGAAATCATGTTATTCAAGGATTTTATACTTTCCTTATTGCCAGACAATCTTAGAATAAATTTACCTTTCGGAATCTTTGGGATTTAAAGCAAACTTTTTCTTGTATAGCATGGAACCTGTGCTCCATAGAAATAGTACATGGCCCCAGGAATATGCTTTAAGGGGGGAAAATGTCATTTCATTTAATTGAGAGTTTTTTGATTTATCACAGGCGCCATGACAGCAGTGGGAGTGGACATTCAGCATTTGAGCCCCTGGTGGCCAATGGCGTCCCTGCTTCTTTTGTGCCTAAGTAAGTGAAAATCTATTTGGTTGAGTTATACACTGTTTAGAAAGAGGGCATTGCCAAAGTTATTGTCCTATAGATGTTCCTATTTTTTTGCATTGCTTTATTTGTTCAAGGTTCAAATCTTTTTTAAATCAGAGGGGAGGATTTGAGTAACTTGCCACAATAATGCTCTTATAATTCCTTTTAATATTTTTTAATAACCAAGTATGTAAATAGAAAGATCACAAGGTTTGCACGATGGATAACATATAAAACTGAAATTTAAGGTAAGTGTTAAGTTTGTACATTTGAGTTTAAATACATTTGAAGAAGAAATGAATTGGAGGGAAAGTGCCTCAGAAATACGTGTGGAAAATCTTGGGGTAACTTATATGCTTAATTTGAGCCAGCAGTATAATACGACTGCCAAAAAACTAATGTGCTCCTATCTGTGTTGATAGAACAAAAACTAGAATGTGGCAGGTAAGTGGCAGTGCTGCTTCCCTTAGTTCTATTCAGATTGTCCATGGAGTATTGTATTTGTTTTGGTGTACTACACTATAAAAAAAGATATACACAAGCTGAAATTCATTTTGAGTGAAGCAACTAGTATGTTAAAGGATGGTGGTGGTAGGTAAGGAGGGTTTGAAGGTACTTAGGTACTAGCCCAGAGGAGAAAAACCTCAAAAGAATAAGGAAATGAGAAAGGGAAAGATAATGGCCTCCAAAAAACTGGAGCACTATCAAATGAAAGGACGAAAACATCTTGCTTGGTATGGCACCAAATAGGATCCATGGGTGAAAGTTAGAGGAAAGATTTCTCATCCCATATGAGAATAAACTGATCCACATTTGGCATTCATCACTCTAGGACAGGAGTGGGAAACTTTTTTTTTTTACCAAAGGCTATTAGGATAGGTATAACATCATTTGTGGGACCACTTAAAAAGTAGCCTGCTATATTTGGTCAAACATTTAATTAACTCCTAATGCCTTGCAGGGCCAGACCAAAGGAATTCGTGGGCTTTATATGGCCCGTGGGCCAGACATTCCCTACCCCTGCTCTAAGAGATAATGAGTTATCTATATTTTAATAGAGGTTGGATGACTATTCTATAGGAAGGATATACAGGAATTTCTATTTCAGTTGGAAACTTAGTAAAAATGGCTGGTTCCTCTTAACTGATTTTTTAAATAGCTTTATTAAGGGATAATTAACATGTACTAAATTGTGTCTTTTAAAGTGTACAGTTTAAGTTTTGACATGTATACACCTATGAAACCATCACCACAGTCAAGATAATGAACATAACCATCACCTCCAAAAGTTTTCCAGTGTCTCTTAGTAGTATCTCCCTCCAGTCTTGCCCCATCCCCAGGCATTCAGTAACAATACTTTCTATCACTGGAGATAAGTGTGTATTTTCCAGAATATTATTTAAGTGAAATCACACATTTAATTTAAAAATATTTGGCTTTTTCTTCTTGACTTTGTCAGATATATTTAAGAAAGATTTTGTGACCATGGATGAAACCTTAAAAGAATGTTGCCTTCAATAGCACATCTAACTATCTTTTTCCCTTTTATTAGGCCTGGGTCTCTGAAAAGAGGTCTCAATTCCCAGAGCTCAGATGACCACTTGAATAAGAGATCCCGCACCTCCTCTATGAGCTCCATGACGAGCACATACACAGGTGGCATCCTTAGCTCCAGCCGCAATGCCATCACCAGTTCTTACAGTTCTACCCAAGGTTTCTCTCAGGTACATTATTCTTGTGGGTGGCATGGGCAAAATGGATTCCAAGCATCAATTAATTGATTAGTCAATGTTTACTAATTACCTTTCTGTCAGATATTGGGATTACCTCTCAATTAACAGAAGATACAAATCCTTGAATAAAAACTATAGCTCATTGGAACAGAAAAGAAAGCTGAGAAAGTAAACCAGTGTATATGTGGGAGCCTGATACAAGACAGAGCCATTGCACATAAATAGGCCAAGGATGAATAATTCAATAAATAGTATTAATTGGATTGAGGAGGTAGACTGAGTTCAACTTGCATTGGGTCATAAAAGAAATTTATCCTAGGTTGCAAATTTAGTAAAAGTTTTAAAAATAAGAAGTGGCTGTATTTTTGTTTGTTTGTTTGTTTGTTTGTTTGTTTGTTTGTTTGTTTTAGAAAGAGAATGTTGTATAGCCTACAGCAGATCAGGCTTTGTTACCAGACAGACTTGGGTTCAATTTTGGCTCTATAACATTTAATCACTATAGGGCCTTGGACAGGTAAATCATGTAAATTCCTTTTCTCATCTCTGAAGAATTGTTGGAAAGATTGAAGGTAATGTTCGAAATGTACCCATTACGGTGCCTGTCAATAAGTGGCTACCCAATTACATAGTACAAAAATAAATCATGTGTTGAGGAAGATTTTTGAGGGGAGAAAATTTTTTAGATAAATTTATTCATAAGGCTCTTATAGTTAACATAAATTCAAGATGAAGGCCTAAGCCAGAGCAGTTGTGGGAATGCAAAGAAAGAGATAATCATGATAACCTTTACCTCGAGTACTTTCGGCCAGACTCTACCTTAAGCACTTAATGCCTATTTCCTCATTGAATCGTCACAGTAGGCCTATTAAGTACATAGCCATTATCCCTATATTTAAAATGGTTTTTATGTTAAATTTCAAATATACATAGAAGGAAAGAAACTAATGAACCTCCATGTAGCTTCAATAGTTAGCATTTTGACAGTCCTGTTCCATCAATACCACCCCCAACTACCACACTACCTTTTGGTTTTGCTCTTGAGTATTAACCTGTTAATCGGGGAGTTCCCTTTTTAATTACGCAACCTGTAACGGGCGCGTACTCTTTCACTAGGACGGGTCAGTACGTCACACCTGGAGGACCTAATTTCATATGATTATTATTTTTTAATTTTATTTATACTTAATTAAAATAAATGAAATATATATATTTTTTGTTTATTTATATATATAAAGCACAAAGGAAAATACAAACAAATAGAAAAGAATACCAACAAAAAAGTGGAAACATCGAATTAAAAAATTATAAATTTGCCAAAACCGGTTTGGCTCAGTGGATAGAGCGTCGGTCTGCGGACTGAGGGGTCCCAGGTTTGGTTCCAGTCAAGGGCATGTACCTTGGTTGCAGTCACATCCCTGATAGGGGATGTGCAGGAGGCAGCTGGTCGATGTTTCTAACTCTCCCTCTGTCTTCCTCTCTGTAAAAAATCAACAATATTAAAAAAAAAATTATAAATTTTACAAACAATTATAAAGATTACAAAAAAATATATACCGTCCCTCTCAGGGCGCAACATATATTTCCAGGATATATTCATACGTCCTACCCGTTCCCGGTATTGTTTACGTTTGACGTATTTAAAGGTCCCGCTCAGTTAACAATTAAATTGTAAATATGTCATTTCACCTATAGAGGTACTTCAGTGTGTTTTTAAACTTCTTAACATTAATGGTCACTATTATATCATTACTGGAGGCCCAATGTACGAAAATTTGTGCAAGGATGGGCCTTCCTTCCCCTGGCTGTCAGCATTGCCTTCCCTCCTTCCCAGAGCCACCTTTCTGCCTTTGCTCTGGCCTGGAGCCGCCTTTCCACCTTCCCATGCTGCCCAGAGGCCTGGAGCTGCTGGGGAGGTGGAGAATACGTGTGGCATCGCCATGGCAACAATGCAAATGTCACTGGGTGCCTGCATATGCAAATTAACCCACCATCTTTGTTGGGTTAATTTACATACTCCTAATTGGCTGGTGGGCATCACAAAGGTACAGTCAACTTGCATCTTTCTTTTTTATTAGTGTAGATTCCACTCAAACAATAATAATTACTTAGTACTAGAGGCCGGGTGCATGGATTTGTGCACTGGTGGAGTCACTCGCCCGGCCTGCTGGGATCAGGCCAAAACCAGTTCTCCAGCATCCCCACAAAGATCCTAGATTGCGAGAGGGCAGTTCTCAAGTGCCACACCAAGGGAATTGGGCTTTCTCCTCTCTGGTTTTGGTGAGTCAGCAGAGAACCACAGCTGACAAATCACCGCAGCTCAGCAATTTCTGAATTGAGCATCTGTCCCCTGGTGGTCAGTGTGCATCATAGCTATCGAACGGAGCGTCGGCTTCCTGGTAGTCATTGTGCATATAGCTAAATTGACTGCCATCATACATAGATTGGCTATCTCTTTTTGTGACTTGCTTTGTTATATCTTTAGGCCACTTATTATTTTATATGTTCATTATATTTATATGGAGTTGCAAATTTTTAGTTTTGACATGTTGAAGATATCAATTCATCACTTTAATTGAAAATACTTGCCTTTTAGTTTGTTTATACTTTTTTGTTTGTTTGTTTCCTGCCCATAAAGATTTTTATTTTTAGATTATGGAAATATTAGTGTTGTTGAAAATACAAATGGTACAGCCGAAACCGGTTTGGCTCAGTGGTAGAGCGTCAGTCTGCGGACTGAAAGGTCCCAGGTTCGATTCCGGTCAAGGGCATGTACATTGGTTGTGAGCACATCCACGGTAGGGGGTGTGCAAGAGGCAGCTGGTCGATGTTTCTCTCTCATTGACATTTCTAGCTCTCTATCCCTCTCTCTTCTCTGTAAAAAATCAATAAAATATATTAAAAAAAAGAAAAAGAAAATACAAATGGTACAAAAGATATACATATAGTAAAGCTTCCTTCCACATGGTAATATTTTTGTGTGGAGAGATTCTTAGTTTTTATGTAACATTCTGTCAGTTTTCTTTCTTTAGTTTCTGGCATAAAAAGTCTTTTATTCTATCCCACGTTATTTAACAACTCATCAATGTTTTTATAGTTCTTTTGCTTATTACACTTTTTACATGTAAATTGCTATTGCATTAGAATTATGTGTGTACGTATAGTTTAGAAGGAGAGATACATTTTTACCCTGGCAAAACATTCAAATCACCATTGGCACTTTATTAAAAATGTAAGGTGTGAGGCCCACGATTGATGTATTCCCAATGACCATCCTTTCTTATTCTATATCAGAGAATAACATTTTCTTAAAAATATTATTTATTTCAGCATTTTTCTCAATCTAATTCTAAGCCTTGGGTTTTCTGATATTATTAGTTTATGGAACTCTATTGTTTTATCACCTGTCTTTGATTTTTAAATCCTTCTTTTTAACTTTTAAGCACTGTTTTCTTCCTTTTGTGTTTATATCATGTAACTGTTACAAAGTAAGAAATCACTAGAAGCTTCCCAGTAGGAAAATGTGATAGTTTAGTACCATTATATTAGGCTAAAGACTTATTTATGGAATGTTTGCTTTTTGTCAGTTACTTTGCTGCTAGTCCCTTTTGAAGGAGGTGGAGATGAAAACAGACCATCTTTGCCCTAGCCAGTTTGGCTCAGTGGATAGATCATCAGCCTGCAGACCAAAGGGTCCTGGGTTTAATTCCAGTCAAGGATATTTACCTTGGTTGCAGGCTCCTTCCAGACCAGACCCTGGTTGGGCGCGTGCAGGAGGCAACCAATTGATGTTTTTCTTGCACATCAATATTTCCTTCTGTCTTTCCCTCTCTCTTCCACTCTCTCTAAAAATCAATGGGAAAATATCTTCTGGTGAGGATAAAAAACAAACAAACAAACAAACAAAACAAAACACTATCTTTGCTACCAAGGGACTCTGCCTGGCAAAGAGACAGATGTATAAATAATTATCATATAACGATAAGTACCATAGGTGTTGTAAAAGTCATAAATGTCATGACAGCATATTTTTAAAAAGTTAATAAAGTAAAGCTGAAAATTTAATGAAGGGAAACTAAGTTTATGGGCTTCTCTTCACTAGACCAGTTTCTTAATGTACTCTAATCATTTCTACAGACAATATAGAGTAATTTATGCATCATTCAATTAAGTCATTGAATGTAATGTTCCTTTTTAATATATACAAAAAGTACATTGATTCTTCCTACACTTATTAGCATTCCATTACTTTTCAGACTTTTTTTTATTCCAACTGACTTTCTTTTCAGGATCCTTTCTTCACCAAGAAATATTTTTTAGTCACTTACAAAGGGGACTTTATATGCAGTATGAATAGAATCACAAAGTTATATTAAAGGTTGAATGCTGAAGTATCACCTAATATTAGTAATGTTACTTTTATTTGACTTTTAGCTATGGAAGAGAAGTGGTCCAAGTTCATCACCCTTTTCCAGCCCAGCCTCATCCCGCTCCCAGACACCAGAGAGGCCAGCAAAAAAAATCAGGTAATCACTTATTTGCTGTATGGATTATTGGTTAGGAAATGAGGGAAATTTACTTGGCTCTTAGGCTCTCTGATTTAAAGAATCAAATTAACATCTAGAAGGACAGGCAAATACCAAGCAGAATTGCTCTTATTTTTACAGTTTATTTTTTTTTAAATATATTTTTATTGATTTTTTTACAGAGAGGAAGGGAGAGGGATAGAGCTAGGAACATCGATGAGAGAGAAACATCGACCAGCTGCCTCCTGCACACCTCCTACTGGGGATGTGCCCGCAACCAAGGTTCATGCCCTTAACTGGAATCGAACCTGGGATCTTTCAGTCCACAGACCAACGCTCTGTTCATTGAGCCAAACCGGTTTCAGCTTATAATTCTTTATGCACTGAGTATAGAAGTCTCTTTTGCTGTACCAATGACCAGGTGTAAAAGTAGAATAGAGTGAGCAGAGTTAATAATATCAGTGGGCAGTAATCTTCATGTTCTTGACTGCAGCTGACCCTCCAGGCCTACCTGCAGTTGACTAGAATGCCACTCTCTTGGGGATTATATCTGTGCCTAGAACACTCAGTAACATAGAAGGTTGAAAGGAAGGTTTTGAAGATAATTGATTTGTATTTGTTTTAAGACAGTGGTTTCTCCATGTTTTCCATTAACTACCTCCCTTCATTTCTGTGGGAATTTTCTTTTAACTCTTTTTTTTTGGTCCTGGCATACTAAAATCTCAAATCATGGTGGTTCTAGACTTTGGCCAGTTGGGAATTGGGAGGATATGTTATTCAGTATTTATTGTCAGGAAGTCTTTATAAACTTAATTTTGTGGTTTTCTCCTACAGAGAAGAGGAACTTTCCCATCATTCTAGTCCTTCAACTCCATTAGTAACCGACAAGGAGTCCCAGGGAGAAAGGGGTAAGTTAATAAACAGGCAAGAGTGGCTTGTGGTGTTTATGGAGGATGTATAGACTAGTACCTATTCAAATCACACTTTGAGCAATGCTGTATAGAGGGCCTGGTATATACAGAGACAGAAGTTCCTGTACTTCGGATGTTTGTAGTCTAGTAGGGGAGGAAGGTGATAAACAAATGCAGTATAACCCAGGGTAACTGGGATGGGGATAAGCTTAGGTTGAGGTATCTGTGAGCAATCACAGGAATTATTGCCCAGCAGTTGTATGCATCCTCTGGAGTAAGTCTCTTTGTACAGCCTCCTGACTATTAGAAATATATTGTAAACTCTATCCACGAGCCCAGACTATAGAAGATGAAATCTTTCAGAGATATCCAGTGAAAATTCAGTGTTACAAGACTATATTTCTTTAGTTGTAGATACAACCACATGGAAGAAACAGAACTTGAGGAATTCCCCATCTACACCTGGCAGCTCTGGGCAGCGTAAACGGAAGATTCAGCTGCTGCCCTCCAGGCGAGGAGACCAGCTGACGTTGGTATGGTCTTGTCCATTTGCCCCTGCCCACCTTCTTAGCTCTCTGAGTCTTGGGAAGGCTAAATTCCGGTTTCTCCCAATTTCTTATGATTGACTTGACTTCTCCTTTTTCTGTTGGGTAGCCTCCACCTCCCCAGCTTGGTTATTCAATTACTGCTGAGGACCTAGACTTGGAAAAGAAAGCTTCATTACGATGGTTTAACAAAGTCTTGGAAGATAAGACTGGTAAGGAATAAAGATGTTTCACATTCTAGGGAGGATTTGGGTTTTTGGGGGGATTTTTTTGGTCTATTCCTTCTGAGAAATCCCTGTGGGTCCTCAGTAGAATCTGAAGAAAGTGAGCACGGAGGTTGAGGGCAAGCATTTCTAAATAAGTTATACTGAGACACTGAGCATTCCCATGCTCTGCAATGGGGATTCCCAAACCAGGGAGGACAACTGAATCTTTTTCTTCCTTAGATGCTGCCTCAAGCTCAGTCACTGAGAACCCACCTACCACTCAGCCTTTTACTTTTACCCTGCCTACTTCTGGGACTGCTCCCTCCCCAACCTCTCTCCCAGCCCCAAGCACTAATCCACTGTTGGAGAGCTTGAAGAAGATGCAGGATTCCCCAGGCCTAACATCCCTCCCAGGTGAGTGAATTTCCCTTAGAGCATATGACATCAAACTTAATTGAGGTTGAAGTAAAAGCATTATTCCTGTCAGTCAATGGAAATTATAAGGATTGAACTTATTCTGGCTGACCAGACCTGAGCTGGTGCAAGCTTAAGAGCTTCAGAATTCTGTAATCAGGAAATTTTAGAGAAGGGGAGCTGTAACATTTAAGCTGTTTTGTTAGTCATATGGCTCTTGATTTGAAACCTACTTTCTTAGCTGCTCTGAGCCTTGAAGTTATTTGTAAAACGAGAATAATGCTTACCTCATGAGGCAGCGCTGAAGTGTGAATGTGATTACATGGTTGAGATGTCTTATCACGTGCTTATTATACCAAAGGCACAAGATAATATGAATTATTTTTCCCTCTAGGTTTTCAAGGGTCTGATGATTGTTCCTGCCCCCTCCTTTTGTAGCATTTCATTTAAACACACTACTATTATTTCACTTTATCATGCAGTAGTATATATGTTAGCTCTCAGCCTGTCCCGGGGCTCAGGGGCAGGCTCTCACTCATTGTCATATGCTCTGCACTTAGCATATGGTAGTCAAGTATAGTAAGTCTTTGTTATGTGAGTGAGGTGTATCTGGGTTATTAACTGGATTAAGTTTCCACACATTTAACCCAATTAGGCCAAGTTTTATCACCTCCTATATTCCTTATGACCTATGAAGAGTGGAAATAACAAATACTTCCTTGATTTTTAAGTAATGAATACTTAAGAGCCAGTGGTACAGATTTAGTCATATTTGTTGACTGACCCTTAAATCCCCAACACTGTGCTGGGCACAGGGAGGATACAAAAGCATTGACTATGATTATGTTTGAGATATTAAGAATTCATTTTCTCTGCTCTTCTCTCCAGATGATTCAACTGGAGTGGCAATTCCCGAGGCCCAATCGCCTCCGAAGACACCCAGCCTTCTGGGCCCTCTTGGCTCTTCACAGTCAACACCCCTTCCAGGCACCTCCTCAGACTCCAAACCCACAATATCTTTCTTGGGGCTGTCCCCTACTTCCGTACCAGTCACTGACACCACCAAGTCACCTCAGGCTGAGACATCTGCCCCATCCCAGGCCCTGTCTGCCCCGGCCCCCAGCCCCAAGCCAAGTCTTCTGTTTGGAATGCTGAGCACTCCCCCTGCTAACCCTTCTGCCTCTGCAGCTCCTGCTGTGTCTTCAGCATCTCCCATGTTCAAGCCCATTTTTAAGGCTCCACCTAAAAGTGAGAATGAGGGCCCCTTGCCATGTAGCCCTTCCAAGGCCACAACCACAGCATCTTTTAGCTCTACCCTTCCCACGACTACCAGCACCTCACCCATTCCTTTCAAACCTCTTTTTGGCAACATGGCACCATCTACATCTGTGTCCTTGCCAACTCCCTTCTCCTTCAATCAGACAACTACTACAGCCACAACCACAAACGCCCCTCTCTTCACTGGCCAGGCCAGTGCCACCTCAACAGTGGCTTCTGCGACCACAGCCAGCACCTCCACAGACTCAGCTTCGAAGCCTACCTTTGGCTTTGGTGTGAGCAATGTGACCAGCACCATGAACAGCATGACTAGCACCACCACTTCCACCTCCCAGCCTTTCCTCTTTGGGAATCCCCCCGCCTCTGGTGCCAGCTTTACACCAGCTATAGGCTCCATATTCCAATTTGGCAAGCTTTCTGCCATTCCTACTTCAACAACAACGACAACCACCACCACCTTTGGCCAGCCCCTACCCGGTGCCGTGCAGGCAGCCACCAGCAGCAGCACCACTGGCTTTAGTGGTTTTGGCAGCACCCTTACAACTTCGGCCCCGGTCACCACCAGCCAGCCTACCCTGACATTCAGTAGCTCCACCACCCCAACATTCAACATTCCCTTTGGCTCAAGCACCAAGGCCCCTCTCCCATCATATCCGGGAACCAACCCCCAGCCTTTTGGGGCCACTGATGGGCAGCCGCAGGGTGCTACCAAGCCAACCCTTGCCCCTAGCTTTGGCAACTCTTTCACTTTTGGAAACTCTGCAGCCTCGGCCCCAACTGCAACTCCAGCACCAACCCCACCCCAGCCAGCCTTTGGCAACACTGCGCAGTCAGCTTTTGGTGGTTTGAAACCCACAGCCTCTGCCTTTGGCACCCCTGCCAGCACCCAGCCAGCCTTTGGCAGCACCACAGCTGCCTTCTCCTTTGGTGCAGCCACCACTTCTGGCTTTGGAGCTACAACCCAGACTACCAGCAGCGGGACCAGTAGTTCAGTGTTTGGCAGCACAGCACCATCGCCCTTCACATTTGGGGGCTCGGCAGCCCCAACTGGCAGTGGGGGTTTTGGGATCAATGTGGCTACCCCAGGCACAAGCTCTACCTCTGGAGCATTCAACTTTGGAGGAGGACAGAGTGGGACCACTGGTAACACAGCCCCCTTTGGGGGAGGCTTGAGTCAGAACACACTGGGAGCACCCAGCCAGAGCACACCCTTTGCCTTCAATGTGGCCAGCACACCTGAGAGCAAGCCTGTGTTTGGAGGTAAGACTGGGAATTGATTTGGTTTGCTGTGCCAGGCACTGTTTTAAGTGCCAGCATAATCTCCACTCTTACGCTTTACATAATGGTGGTGGAGAGAATATATAAATATGTCAGATAACAGTGTTGATAAAATAAAACATAATTACTGATTGTAAAGGAGCTAATTAGGTAATCAAGGAAGGCCTTTCTGAGGAAATAAGTTTAAGCCAAGACTGTTTGTGACAGAAAATGGTTGCAAGTGCAGGTGGGTAGGTGTGTGTGTAAGAGCTTTGCAGGCACAGGAGATAGTGCAAAGATCCAAAGGCAGAAATAAACTTGGTATGGACAGATAAAAGCAAGGTGTGGCTAGAAGTTTGAAAGTAAATGGTATGAAAGATAGGCAGAATTAAAGATCATCCATGGGTTTAAATGTTTGAATTTTAAGTACTAAGGGAAATAACTAGAATTTCAAGCAGAAAAATGAAGTGATCTTACTTGCCATGTGAAAGATGAATTAGAAGTTTTGATCCCGAGAGTTTGTTTTCATTAAATGAGAGATCTTGGGGAGCTGATCACGGTAAAATATGTACAGAGGAGAGCCTCTTAAAATGGCCATCTTGAAGAGTGGAAAGGAAGGTAATGAGAGTGTGATAGAGCTGCCATGCAGTTTGAGGGCTGGAAAATTGTGGTTATGAATTTAAAGTGAGACTAGTTAGCACTGGTTCTCCAGCAACTTCTGCTGTTGAAGTATAGACCTAAAATAAGCACAGAGCTGGTAAAACCCTTCCTGTTTAAACTCAAGCAAATATAGCAGGAGGGGCAGTGAGCTTGGAGGTCTTGATGAGATTAAGGAAATGGAGGACTACTAGAAACATTGAGCCGGGAGAAAGAGTGCAGTAGTTGCAGTTAAGCTATGGGAGCTAGAACAGTTCCTGGTGTTGATAGGTGTAGGTGATAGAGGATGGATAGAGGAATAGTTTGGGGTAGCAAGGCTGGGCCTCAGAGATCAAGAAAGAACCAGCTTTCCCTGAGAGGCTGTAGAGAAAGCAGAATCACTACTGAGAATCGGGATTCAGTGAGAGAGGGCAAGGGAGTTCGCTGATGACTGACCCTGTGGGCAGATTAGGTGATCTACAGGATGGATTGGAATGGCGGTGAGTTTGGTAGAAGGCTCTGGTTTCTGGAGGGAAGGGTATAACTGGTAAAACCCAACCTGTTGAACAGGGGAAGAGGAATAACATTAGTCCTGATAGTGGTTCAGAGCTAAGATGGCCTGTGGGGGATGCACATAGAGAACAGATCTCGGCGAGGTTCATTACCGTCTGCTTTGATGTCCTCTGCTCACTGGCCTAGTCTCTACAGTTCTCTGCTCTCTTCATTACAGGTACCTCCACACCCACCTTCGGTCAGAACACCCCTGCCCCTGGAGTGGGCACATCAGGAAGCAGCCTCTCCTTTGGGGCATCCTCCACGCCCACCCAGGGCTTTGTTGGAGTCGGACCTTTCGGTAAGCTTAGCAATTCTCTCTGTTGCCAGCATGGCCTGCTTATTCTCTGAAGAGGGAATAGGGTCGGGGTAGGCTGGTAGCTTCCTCTCTGAGGCCTTCTCCGGAAAGTCAGGCTGAAAGCATGAGAAACATGTGGACAGATTGAGAGTCCAGCACAACCAAGGTTTGGAGTTGGCGGCAGACAGCGGAGGAGCCTTTCTGGGCTGATTTCCTGGATCATTGGAAAGCTGGGTAAAATTGTCGTCCAGGGCCTCTCCCAGACTGTGATTCCGGGGTTTTATCTTTTCAATAGGCCCCTCTCCCGACGCAATTGATATACAGTTTGGGAAGCTCCCCCCCTCCCCAAGCACCCACAGTCCTATTGGCCTAACTTTCCAGAGATTGGGGCAACCAAAGAAATGCTTTCAGGTAGCAGCTGCCCTGATGAGATTTTGTTGAATCTTTCCAGGATCGGCGGCCCCTTCATTTTCCATTGGTGCAGGATCCAAGACCCCAGGGGCTCGACAGCGACTGCAGGCCCGAAGGCAGCACACCCGAAAGAAATAGCGTTTGTCCCTTGCCTCCATTCCTCCCACCCCTTACCCAAATCTGGACCTTGGTACCTGCTAGGAAGAGCCTCTAACCCTTCTAGTTCCATAAAGCAAACCCGGCTTCAGCCACCTGGGAGGTAGTGGCAGCCCTGGGGCCATTTCCCTCTCTCAGAGGAAGCAGAAGCCTCAGGCCTCTTGGTGGAGGGGGATGCAGGATGTGGCAGGACAGAAGCCTAATACCATTACTTGAACAGTTCCACTGGGGAGGCTGGAGAGAACTAAAGAAACATCTGTACATACTGTCCACTTATTTCCCTCACTTGTTTAGTATATAAGCTTAGTCAGGCAGCCTTCCTTCCCACCTTTTCCCCAGAGAGCCATCTTTGCTGGAGGGTAGTAGGTAGAGCCCTGCCCCCCTCCCCCCCCCCCTACGGCATTTGGTAGAACTGGGGGAAATGGATTATCCCTAAAGCTTTACCTTGCTTGGCTTGGCTATAAAAAGTGGTTCTCTGGTTCCTTTAGGGGACTGTTTTCCCATTTCTTGCTTTGATCCTCAACTGGTTCCTTGCAGGATCTATTGCTTTTTAAATGATCTTGAATCAAGCTTTGCCTTGAAGATCCCAGTGGATGCTGCTCCTGCTATTTCACTTCCTCTTGCCAAGTCGATGAGTCAGTGTTTTGTCCCCAATCCTATCTGCCAGTTTGGCCCCCTAAAAGCTTGGTGGCTCAAGACTGTTAGCCTGGCAGATCCAGGGGTGAATCCTCACTCCATGGAGGAAAGCTCTTGGAGCAGACAGGATGCCCACCACTGCTTTCAGCTGCCTCCTCGCCCACTATCCCTGCTGGCCTCATTGGGCACGTCTGCCTCTCTGGCATTGTATGTTTAAAGCCTTGTCCTGTGTTACTTTGTCTGATGCTCATGTCTATTTCTCTTTGAATCGAGTTTGGAGGAAGAATTGAATTGTATGAGTGGCGGCATGTTGGTAGTGCCGGACTTATCTGTTTCAAGTTTCTGGGACTTAGCTAATTGAATGTGGAAAGTAGCACCACTTTATGGCTACAAGTGCCAACTCTTGGATTTTCAAATAGTGTTTTGACTTTAAGGGCTGGCAGCCCAGGAGGATAGGGCCAAGGGGAAACAAAGACCTCTTCTCTTCCCTCTGCTGTTTCTCTCTCCTACCTACCTGACCTGACCAGAACACCCCTGATATGTGTTAGAAAACCTAAATTAATGAACCACACCCAAGTTCTTAGTTGCTGCCCCCTTTCCCCTTCTTTTCTTTGTTTCAAAGCCACATACCCCGGCCTAGGAGCCTTGCTGCCATGCCCATCCTCTTTGGGAGAAGTATGAATGCGTGTGTCTAAATTAAAAGAAAAAATATTTAAACATTTTTTAACAAAATAAAAATTTATTTTTGTATTTAAGCTAAATTGCCTTTTAAATTCCTTCAAGCTTGGTTCATTGAGGTGGTTAAGTATAAATGCTGTTGATTAGGAATTAGCTGTATAGTTAAGTTATGCCTGTGTGAAGAAGAGGCTCTAGTGCTGCCCAGGCAGCTTTCCTGGGTGACTAGAGCTCCTTCTGGACACATTATATAAAATGTATTTTTTTTTTTTTTAAATAAATAATGTGATGTAGATGTAACTAGTCCCCCTCACCCTTTTGTGACTGAGGCTGAAAGCTTTGTGGCAGGGGAGTGACTGCTCCCACCCTAGGAGAGCTCTGGTAATACCTAACTGTCTGTGGAGCTGAGGGAGCCTGAACCTCAAGTCTCAAATACCTACTAGAATTGGAGGGGTGTGGTGGGGCATGGGCCTAGAAATCAAGCTTCTACCTGTACCTTATGTAAGGTAGACCCTCTTAGTTTTAGTACTCTAAGCTAGTTTACCTCAGTTCCACAGACGGGACAGTTGGTCCAGGAACCCCCCGAAGAGGGGATCCTGGCACGGCCTGAGTGTGAGAGTGTGTGTGTATGTGTACATGTACATGCACTGGACAGGAACGGGAGGCTGGGACTTTCCATTACAAATAAAGACTTAATTCCTGTGAGTCTAGTTGGAATTTTTAGTATGAATGTGAGATTTTTCTCCTTGCTTATGTCATTAAGAATAAAAAAAAAAAAACTGTGATCTATCGTAGACCATGTCCTGCCTTTTATTTTTGTGGGTAGCACTTCTCGCAACAAGAACACGGCTCAGGGAAGGTACCCAAAGGACGAGGCATTCCGCTCCGTCTTCCCAGCTGGAGAAACGACTATCAATTTCCTTCCTATAGCAACAAAAAGAACAGAACCTTTCAAACACTAAACTGATGCCTGGGGCCGAGGGCCCAAAGCTAAGCCGAGGGAGAACCAGTGCCATCCCTTCCTCCACCCAAGAAGTAAAGTTCTGAGCACCTGCTTTGTGCAGGGTAGTGTGCTAGAAGCGGCGGCGGCTGCTGCTGCGCTTCGCCGCCGCCTCTTTCTCTTCGGAGCTGGGCTGGGGCTGGACCTAAGTTCTGGTGCTGACACTTCGGCCTGTGAGACTGAGCTGGAAGGAAAGAATAAGTTAGATGTGTCCCAATCTTCTCAGTCATCTTCCCAGCAGGCCCCCTGCTCACCTTGGCACCTCTACTCGTTCAAGTACAGCGATGAAGAAGCCACCAGTGAGTGTGGTCTCAGGGGAGGCCCGGAGACAGTGTTCTGCCCCTGGGAAGATGTTAAGGCCTCGGTGAGGCCAGGAGGGTAGGACAGGAGCTAACCTGTGGAGAAGAGCACACAGACTTCTGGGTAAAAGGAGAGCAGCCCCCTTCCATCCCCGAGACCCTATTGGAAAGCCAACTACCTAAAGGTTCCTGAACTCTGCTGTAGGGCCTCCTGTACCACATCTTCATTCTCCTCTTGACAAACAGAACATGTGGAGTAGACCAGGCGTTGCAGGGAGGGGAAAGTGAGCGCATGGCACAGAGCTCGCTGCTGGAACCCTGCTAGGGCACGCAAACGTTCCTTGCTAGGTACAGCTGTCCCAGACTCCTCCAGCTGTCTAGTCAACATACCTGGGGAAAAGAGTGTTTTAATTAAACTGCCTTGTTTTACATGGAAATCCCCACTTTATAAATGAGGACATTTGCCCAGGGTCACAAGATAATTTGAGTTAGTTAGAACTAAATGAACCAAGACCTAAACGAACTGCTATCACTTCCACTCTAAGGCTGCTCTTGACCTGTTGGTCCCTAGGCTATGAGTTCTCCCCATCTCACCAGAACCACTACACGAAGGGTCCAGCAAAATGTACTGGACCTGCCGATAACGCTGGTCTGAGGGTGAAACTGCCAGAAAGTCCTCTTCGGCTAGCTGGCAGCAAGAGACTCCAGCCCGGGCCAGCAGAGTAGCCATAGACGCCAACCGCTTGGCATCCAGGTCAAAGGCAAAGATCTTCCTACAGACAAGGCCAGAGTTGAGGTTAAATGAGTTTATACACCATCTAATGAACATTAAGTTGGGACATACAGAATATTTACATACAGCCTGCAAGGACTAAAGAATTCACTTCTCACACCTGCAACCCAATGGGAAGCTTAGTTTGGGGCTATACCAGGAACTGCTCTAAGTGCAGAAAGAAATATTTAAAGGAAAAATCTTCCTTTCAGCCTTCAGACCTATTGGGAAAACGAGTTCCTTATTTCTCACCAACTAGAGGATCCAACCCCATCCCCTCCTTTTGTCTGACCCTGGCACTCACCCTTGGTTCTTTAGAAGAGCTGCCAAGTGGCTGGTCTTATTGCCCGGGGCAGCACACGCATCAATGACATGGGAACCGGGGGGCGGGGCCAGCAGCATGGCTGGGAGACAGCTAGCCTGGCAGGGCAAAGCACAACTGCTGGGTGAACAGACTCCGAGCTGGTCACTCCTACACATTCTTTCCTTTTCCACCCACCTTCCCTACCTTGTCTTGTAAGATGAGATGACCAGCTTGGTATAGTGGATGTTCATGCAGATCGGTTTGAGCAGGAAACACAAGCAGCTCTGGCAACAAGGGATCCAGAAGAAAACACTTCCCTTTGAGGGCCCTTAGATCCTCAAGGCTGTCAGGGAACAAGAACCATTTATTCAACATTTCTCGAATTGTTCCACGCCAGGCATCAGGTTGGGCATTTTACATGTTACCTAACATGTTAACTTCATTCATGCAACAAATGTTTAAGGCTGAACTAAATAGGATAATAAGACAGAGTCTGGATTCTCAGACCAGACTCTGGTTTCAGGATCCCTCAGCCATTTACCAGGACTGGAAGCATGAGCAAGTGCCTTTATCTCAGCCGGTTTCAATTCTAGAAAATAGCACCTATGAAGATTAAATGAGTTAATGCATGCAAAATACTAGGTGTACCTGTTAATTCGGATTTTTTCCCAATAGATGGCATTACACATAGGTTGATATATATGCTATTTGATATGTATGCTATTTTGTTGTATTGACAAGCTTCAAAACTTCATATGTCAAATTTGCTGAAGGTGTTAACATCATAATTATTTTTACACTTAAAAATGTCAAATTTCATGCCCAAAAAAGAGCATTTGCAGGAAGTTTTCATTATTTTGAAGAAAAGTGCTGCTGAATACTTTGGGAAGCTTATGCTGAACATGCTCCATCTCAAGATACTTGTGAATGCTGGTTTAAACGCTTTAAAAGTGATTTTTACATCAAAGACAAAGTACATCCAGGTCAACCAAAAAGTTTGAAGACCAACAATTACAAGCATTATTGAATGAAGATGTGTGTCAAACTAAAAAACAACTTGCAGAAAGATTAAACATTGCTCAGCAAACAATTTCTGATGGTTTACAAGCAATTTCTGATGGTTTACAAAGATTTTAAAGGAAGAAAATGGGTGCCACATCTCAACTGAATGAAAGACAAATGAAAAACAACCGAAAATTCGTCAGTAAAATGTTGCTTCAACGGCAGGAAAGAAAGACTTTTTTTAGCGGAGATCAGTTTGGCTCAGTGGATAGAGTGTCGGCCTGTGGAATGAAAGGTCCCGGGTTCGATTCCGGTCAAGGGCATGTACCTTGGTTGCGGACACATCCCCAGTAGGGGGTGTGCAAGAGGCAGCTGGTCGATGTTTCTCTCTCATCGACGTTTCTAACTATCCCTCTCAATTCCTCTCTGTAAAATCAATAAAATATATATTAAAAAAAAAAAAAAAAAAAAGAAAGACTTTTTTTGCACCGAATTATGACTGGTGATGAAAATGGATTTTGAGAATCCCAAATGCACAAAATCATGGGTTGATTCAGGTCAACCATAAGCATTGACTGCAAGGCCAAATCACTTTGGAAAGAAGACAATGCTCTGCATTTGGTGGGATCAGGAAGGTGTGATATATTATGAGCTTCTAAAACCAGGTGAAACTTAGTACTGATGGCTACCGACAACAAATAATCAATTTGAACCATGCTTTGATTGTAAAACGACCAGAATAGGCCAGAAGACAAGGCAAAGTAATTTTGCTTCATGATGACGCACCATCACACACTTCAAAACCAGTTAAAGACACATTAAAAGATCTTGCCTGGGAAGTATTAACCCACTCGCCGTATTCACCAGACCTTGCTCCTTTCAGATTACCACTTGTTCGAATTGATGGTACACACACTTTCTGAGCAGCACTTCAAAACATAGGAAGAAGTGGAAAATTGGGTCTTTGAATGGTTTGTCTCAAAACAAGGTATCCACAAATTACCTAGAAGATGGGGAAATGCGACGGGCATTACTTTGAATAAAGCACTTTTGATGTTTCTCTTGAAATTATCGTGTTTTTCTCTGATTACAAAATCCACTATTATTAACCAGTACACCTAGTGTTTAGAAAAATATATGGCACAAATTAGGCACTCAATAAATGTTAGCCATTACTGCTAAAACCCTAAGGAGAAGTTATTTTGGGGGGAATTGAGTGGAGAAGGGCAGCTGGAGGGGAGATAAGTATTGAGCTGACTCCTGATGGATGAGCTGGTAATGTGAGAAGCTAAGATGAAAACATTCACTAAACTCTGTAAAGGAGCATTGTCCCCTCCACCCTGACCCACATAGAAACAGGCCAGAGAATAGTGTCTCAGCACAGAAAGCTATCAAGCAGCAGAGCTGGAATTCAAACCCACACACAACCATTCTCTATCTCCCTGGTTTCTAAGCAACATGCTTCAGACAGAAAGGAGAACATCTAAAACAGATGTGGGGAGGGCAGAGGTGTATCCCAGAGCTGTTAAAGGACGGGAGGTGGGAAAGCACAAGAGCAGAGAGGGAACAACAGGTGCAGAGTGCCATGGCAGATGGGCCTGGAGAGGAAGCAGGGGGCACAGCACAATGGAGAGTCAAGAGAGGGTGTTCAGCTGAGACCGGTTTGGCTCAATGGATAGAGCGTCGGCTTGGGGACTGAAGGGTCCCAGGTTCGATTCCGGTCAAGAGCATGTACCTTGGTTGTGGGCATATCCCCAGTAGGGGGTGTGCAAGAGGCAGCTGATCGATGACTCTTTCTCATCGATGTTTCTAACTATCTCTCTCCCTTCCTCTCTGTACAAAATCAATAAAATATATTTTAATTAAAAAAAAAAAAAAGAGAGGGTGTTCAGCAGGGAAGTAATAAGTTGGATATGATTTCAGATCTTTCGGCAGCCAATCAAATTAGGATAAGTGCCTAAACCTAGGGAGGACAAAAAGAAAGGGGCAGATTTGAGAAAAATGCTGAACGCAGAGAAGTGAGTGACTGGAGAGAGAGAAAGAAAGCATCTAGGATGACTCAGTGTCTGGTTTGATCAAATTAGGGCATAATTATATCTGCTAGGTTAAAATAGGGAATGCAGAAGGTGCAAAGTTCAGGGATACAAGGATGGTTCAAATTAATGATATAGCACATTAACATGAAGGGTTGCCCTAGCCAGTTTAGCTTAGTGGATAGAGCATTGGCCTACAAACTGAAGGGTCCCGGGTTCAATTCCAGTCAAGGGCACATGCCCAGGTTGTGGGCTTGACATCCAGTGGGAGCCATGCAGGAGGCAGCCAATCAATGATTCACTCATTATTAATGTTTCTCTCTCTCTCTTCCTCTCTGAAATCAATAAAAAATATTTTTTTAAAATGAAGGGTTTATCACAAAAATTCTAAATAAAGTTGGTACGGGAGAAATGTATTTCAACATAATAAACGCCATATCGGACTAGCCCACAGCTAATATATCAATGGTAAAAAGCTGAAAGCTTTTCTTCTAAGACCAAGAATAAGACAAGGCTACTTTTATTCAACGGTATTGGAAGTCCTAGCCAGAGCAATTAGGCAAGAAAATAAAGGCATCTATATTGGAAAGGAAGAAGTAAAATTGTTATTATTTGCAAATGACATATATATATAGAAAACCCTAAAGACGCCTTGCCATAATAGCAGTCAGCAGCTGTGTATCTCTGCAGGTTGCCCAGGACCAAACCAGAGAAGGTTGGACCTGTATTACCACCATTTGCCCACCATCCAGAACTGAAATATCATTGCTGACATTTACACATAAGGAACTGTTTGACATTGAAATTGGGACTCAAAAGAACTCATGGATCAGAAAGACACTCACTACAGACTGATTCATAAACGATTATTGCTAGTCTCATTTTTTATTCTTTAATATATATATTTTATTGATTTTTTTTTTTTTTTTTTTTTTTTGGTACAGAGAGGAAGGGAGATAGAGAGTTAGAAACATCAATGAGAGAGAGTCATTGATCAGCTGCCTCTTGCACACCCCTACTGGGGATATGCCCGCAACCAAGGTATTATACATGCTCTTGACCGGAATCGAACCCCGGGGCCCTTCAGTCCCCAAGCCGATGCTCTATCCATTGAGCCAAACTGGTCCTGGCATCATTTTTTATTCTTATAAGTATATTTCCAGTAGGACATGATCTCACTCATCTAGGGGAAATGGTGAACAACATAGACTGATGAACAAGAACAGACCCAGAGATAACGAGCCATGGGTCAGATTGTTGGACCTCAAAGGGAGGGTGGGGATAAAAGGGAGAGATCAACCAAAGGACTTATGTGCATACATATGAGCCTAACTGTGGTCAAGTACAATACGGGGGTGGAGCATGAGTGGAGTAGGGGGTGGGGGATTGGAATGGGGGGACAAATATGTGATACCTTAATAAATTAAAAAAAAAAAAGACTCCACCAAAAACATCTTAGAATTAGTAAACAAGATCAGTAAAGTTGCAGGATACAATATCAATATGCAAAAATATGATACATTTTAATACACTAATAATGAACTATCAGAAATTTTAAAAGCCCATTTATAATTGCATCAAAAAGAATGAAATACCTCAGAATAAATTTAATCAAGGAGGAGAAAGACCTGTACACTAAAAACTATATAAGATATTAATGAAAGATATTCCATGCTCATGGGTTGGAAGAATATTGTTATAATGTCCATATTATCCACAGCAATCTACACATTATATGCAATCCCCATCGAAATTCCAGTGGCATTTTTCACAGAAATAAAACAAATAATCCTAAAGTTTGTATGGAACCACACAAGACCCAAATAGCCAAAGCACTCTTCAGAAAAAAACAAAGCTGGAGGCAGCACGCTCTGATTTCACACCATATTATAAGGCTATAACAAAAGTGTATGGTATTGGCATAAAAACAGACACATGGATTAATGAAACAGTACAGAGGGCCCAGAAATAAACCCACACATATGTGGTCAATTTATGACAAAGGAACTAAGAATATACAGTGGGGAAAGGACAGTCTTTTCAATAGTGTTGGGAAAACTGGACAGTCATATGCAAAATGAATGAATGAAACTGGACCATTCCCTTTTACCATATACAAAAATCAACTCAAAATGGATTAAAGATTTGAATGTAGGCCAGAAACCATAAAACTCCTAGAATAAAACATAGGCAGTAAGCTCCTTGACATGGGTCTTGGTAATGATAGTTTGGATTTGACACCAAAAACAAAAATAAACAAGAAGGACCATATCAAACTAAAAAGCTTCTGTACAACAAAGGAAATCATCAACAAAATGAAGGTGCAACTTACTAAATGATAGAAAATAGTATATGCAAATCATATATCTGATAAGGGGTCAATATCCAAAATATATAAAGAATTCAATAGCAAACAACAATAACAATCCAATTAAAAAATGGACACAGGATAATAGACATTTTCCCAAAGAAGATATACAGATAGCCAACAGGTACAAGAAAAAAAAGTCTCAACATCAATCACCAGGGAAACCCAAATCAATAACACCTCACATCTGCTAGAATGGGTGTTATAAAAAACACAAGTAAGTATTGGCAAGGATGTGGAGGAAAAAAAATTCTTGTGCACTGCTGGTGGGAATGTAAATTCCAAATGGGAAACAATATAGAGGTTCCTCAGAATTTAAAAAAAAATTACCATATGATCCAGCAATTTCACTTTTGGGTATTTACCTCAAGGAAAGCACTAACTTGAAAGATATATGCAACCCCATGCTCACTGCAGCATTATTTACAATGGCTGAAACATAGAAGCAACCTAAGTGTCCATCAATTGATGAATTAAAGATAACGTGATAAATACATTTTATATACACACACACACTCTGAAATATTCAGTCATAAGAAATATCTTGCCATTTTTTCTTTTTTTTAATTTAGTGTAAGTTGAAATCTTGCCATTTTCAACAAGATAGATGGAACTTAACGGCAAAGTCAGATAGAGAAAAACAAATACCTTATGATCTCATTTATATGTGGAATCCTAAAACAAAACAAAACAAAACAAAAAAAAAACAACCCCAGAGCTCATAGATTCAAAGAACATATCTGGGAGGTGGGGGACAAAATGGGTGAAGGGAGTCAAAAGGTACAAATTTCCAATTATTCAATAAATCATGAGAATGGAATGTGCAACGTGGTAACTATAGTTAATACTGTACTGCATATTCGAAAGTTATTAAGAAAATAAGTCTTAGCTCTGGTAATGACAACATTACGAGTCATTAGGGGAATGCAAATCCAAACCAGAGTGAGAAATCATCTCACCCCCATTAGAATGACTCTTCAAAAGAACAGAAAACAAGTGTTGGTGAGGATGTGGAGAGATAGGAACACTTGTGCACTGTTGATACAAATGCAAAATGGTGCAGTTGCTATGGAAAATTTTTTGACGGTTCCTCAAAAAATTATAAACAGAATTTACCACATGATCCAGCAATTCCACTTCTGGGTATGGGTCCAAAAGAACTGAAAATAGGGCCCTGGCCAGGTTTGTTCAGTGGTTGGAGCATCGGCCCTTGGACTAAGGGTCACCGGTTCGATCCCTGATCCTTTGGGGGATCCATAAGGGAGGCAACCAGTTAATGTCTCTTTTCTCTCTCACACTTCCCCCCTCCTTTCTCCTTTCTACTCTTCCTGAAAAATCAATGGAAAAATATCCTCGAGTGAGGATTAAAAAAAAAATAAAGATTTGAAAGCAGAAAAAAAAAAAAAGAAGAAAGAAAAGAAAAAGAAGTCTTAGAAGTTTGCATCACAAGAAAAAAAAATTTTGCAGATGTTAACTAGACTTGCTGTGGTGATCATTCTGCAATATATACAAATATCAAATATATACATTTCACTGTACCCCTGAAACTAACAATATTATAGGTCAATTATACCTCAATTTAAAAAGGAAATACTGCAAAATAATCCAATAACTTGTTAAGCATGTTTTTTTGAAGAATATCTTTTAAATTTTGAATGTCATTGAACAACAACAAAGGTGCAAAGTTCAGAGGATGGATGAATTCAGTTTGACATGTGCTGTGACTGTAGTGTCTGTAAAGCATTGATATGAACCTGAGGGAATGAATACAAGAGAGAAGTCTAGACTGGGAGACAAGAATCATCAGGTAAGAATTAGGAATTAGAGCTAGAGAAGAAATTGAAGGATTGATACATTAGGAGAATGTCAATGGGACTTCCAGAACAATCAATGTTTAAGGAACGGAGGAAAACAGGCCTTGGAAGAGGATGGAGAAACTGCTGTAAAAATATGAAAAAAACCAGAGTGCAGGCACAACACCGCACCTCTCCCCATCCATTTCCCAAGCGCGTCCTCCCAACCCCCCTGCACCTCCCGAGATTAGGGCAGCTAGTTAGGGTTCTATGCTCACCTGGAAGCCCGACCCTGATAGGAGAAACCCTGTCTCTTGAAATAATCGATTGCATCATCAGAGCAAGTCTTGAGAGTGTTCACCCGCACAAATCGAGGCACCTGGGAGGCTAGGAAGCAACCAGCCATCAGTGGCAGGGACATGGCATTTGAGGACAGGATGGTTATCCCCCACCCCACAACTCAGCTCACCTGCGCCAGGCCCACATCCCGCTTCCAATAAGTCCTCATTCCGGCTCACGCCTCGATGAACCTTCAGCCGGGCCAACTCAGCCTTCAGCCGTGCCTGGTGTCGGTTCAGTAGAGGTTTCCATCTGCCCCCACCCCCTCTGAAGCCTCTTCCCAGCAACAACTCATACACCAGCACCTGGAGATGTAAAGACCAGGAGGTAAAAAAACAAACAAACAAAAAAAACCCCTAAGCATTAATGCCTCCCAACTCCATAGTGTTGGAACTGGGAAGGCTAAACAAACCACCTGTCGAGACACTAACAGGTGAAAGTGATTTTTAAACATATCAACTGTCGAAACAGTAACAGGTGAAAGTGATTTGCAGATCACACAAAATCCATGGCAGATACAGGATTTGAACCTGAAGTCTTTGCTTCCCCAGTTCTGAACCCCCTCCGCTCACCAGCAGAGCTCAAGATCTCAACCCCCCTCCTCGTCAACGTCACCCTTTTGCTTTACCTAAGCCGCCCCTGCCGTTGCTACTTTGTGCTTTTGTTCTTATTTAATCTTTCACACAGCCTTGAAGTCAAAGCATTTGCATCTCAACTCACTTCATAACTCCGAAGCGGGCTGCGCGTCATTTCAGAGGAGCTACGTCCCGCGGCGGGCGGACCGTAGGGAGCTAGGACCAGGTTAGGAGGGACTCTCTGCCCGCCCCCGCCCCACCCCTCGCCCGTCACCTTGGCCAGGTGCGGCCGAAGCTTCTTCTCGGCGCGGAGGAGGCCGGCGCTGGAGATGACCGAGTCCAGCACCGCGGAGTAGCGCTGCGTCTCGCACACCAGCGCGTACAGCTGCTTCACGTTCTGCGCGCGGCCCAAGAGACACCAGGTCAGGCGGGGCCCGGCCCAAGCTAGCCTCCCGCCCACCCGAACCCCGAACCCCGCTTACCTGGAAACTGCTGGCGTACACCAGTCCCTTGATGGAGCCCTGGCGGCTCTCAACACCAGCCAGCACCGCCGCCGCCGCCGCGTACAGCGCCATGCACGCACCACTCCCAGGCGCCTTTACGGCTCTGTCGCAACGTCCCAGGCGCCTTTACGGCTCCGTCGTAATGCGGCCGCCCAGACTTCCGGGTTAAAGGGCGCAGAGGTGCGGCACCGGAAGCCCCAGTGCCGTCTGAGTCTCCCGAGGCGGATGCCCGTTAGGTTAGAGTAGGGAAGCGGGCCCTGTAGGAGCGCATTTCTCCGCTTTTTGTAGGTTTTCACTTTTTTTTCTTTCCATTTTTCCCGATCTAATAGCAAACAGTGGGGTTTTACTGCTGTTACTCAGATTGAATGTCTTCGTACTTTGTACTTCTGTTATCATAACACTAAAGGCCCAATGCAAGGAATCCGTACAAGGGGCTGGGGCCCCACCTCCGAGAAGGCTGCCGCGGCCCCTGGCCCGGGGGCCACCTCTGCCTGGGCCCGCCGGCCCCAGCTCTGAGAGGAAGGTCGTCAGGTCTAATTTAGCATATTATGCTTTTATTATTATAGATTATTATAGATGTTAATGTGTTGCCCTGGAAGTCAGCTCACTTTTTCCCCCCAGCTCACTCTTAATGCCATTTTTCTCTTAGTGCCCTTTATATATTAACATTATATACTGCCCACGTAAAAAATATTCAAGCCTGTAGAGAATTTTCGTGAGTTTATTTGAGCCAAACTGACAACAATTTCCCGGAAGCAGTCTCAATGGATTGAGATATGCTCCAGAGAACGGCAGTTTCACAATTTATTTTATACATTATAATCGTAAGAGGAAATATGAGTGGTTTCCATTAAATCTATTGGTGATAGATTAGGGAGGCAGGAGAAAGCAAAGTGGGAAAACCTCTGGACATGGGTAAAAAGTAAAATGATAGATATTCTGAAACAAATGTATGTGTATTGTAGAATGGAGCAAAGAAGTAAATATACTGATTTTGTTGGGATCCAGGCTCCTTGAGGGTCCCAACAAAATCAATATATTTGAGAAAGACGCTACCAATATAAAATGGTGAAAGATAAGAATTATATGAAATGGCAATATTTTCTCCAGTCTGTCCACAGGAAGGATATTCACAATAACGCCTCAGTGGCCATGAGCACACCTAGCTTCCAGATCTTGGGCTCTAAGATCCCTCCCCACTAAAAAGAATCAGGGTCCTTAGCAACATGGCTGAATCCAGGGATGGGGCTGGGAGAGGAACCTGGACCATCTTGTGCCAGAAGTAAGAATGTGCCCAAAGAATGGCAGGCACAAAAGCCAGCTTGAAGGAGCTCCCACTGATCAAATCTGGTACAATCTGAGCATAAAAATAAATTATGATAGTAATGGCTTATAATCCATTAATAAAATCAGAATCCATGGATTCATATTGACAGAAATAAAAATAGGAGGGAAGGTTCTTACAATAAAATGTTAAGTAATAAATGCAGAAAGAATGATTGTTTTAAATCACTATATGGCAATCATAACAGTAATTTGATTCAAGCAAGAGCCATCAATTACTATAATAAACAGGATATTCACATAATTTCAAGTAATCTCTCCACATGTTACTTTATTTAAAACAAATGGGGAGCTGAAACCGGTTTGGCTCAGTGGATAGAGCGTCAGCCTCCGGACTAAAACGTCCCGGGTTCGATTCTGGTCAAAGGCATGTACCTTGGTTGTGGACACATCTCCAGTAGGGGGTGTGCAAGAGGCAGCTGATGGATGATTCTCTCCCATCGATGTAAAAAAATCAATAAAATATATTTTTAAAAATAAGTAAATAAAAAAACAAAGGGGGGAAAGTAACTACAGTAGAGAACGTTGGAGGACATGTCCAGGACTTGGTGATCAAAATTAACATTTCCAGCCTTAGCTAGTTTGGCTCAGTGGATAGAGCACTGGCCTTCAGGCTAAAGAGTCCCAGGTTCAATTTCAGTCAAGGGTACATGCCTGGGTTGTGGGTCAGGATCCCCAATGGGGGGCGTCCAATTAATGATTTGGACGGCAGCCAATTAATGATTCTCATCATTGATGTTTCTATCTCCCTCTCCCTTCCTCTCTGAAATCAATAAGAATATATTTTAAGGGGAAAAAGTAACATTGCCAATATGGAGCAAGTCACAATCTCAGGCCAGTTGGTAGCATCTTCCGGAGTATTACTGCCATTTATGCATAACCTGAATCAAATGAAGTATTAAACACACCCAAATCGAGGGACATTCTACAAAAATAATTGGTCCCATCTCTTCAAAATGGCAAAGTTGAGAGGACAAAAAAAGACTAAGACTGACCCAGATGAAGGAAAGCTAGAGACATGACAACTGAAATGTAACTAGTGATCTTGGATTGGATCCTGGACTTGAAATAGTCTTACAACAGAGGACAAGTAGGACAATGGGTGGCATCTGAATAACATCTGTAGGTTGGATAACAGCGTTTTATTAATGTTAATTTCCTGATTGTGACACATTTGCATTGTGGTTAAATAAGAGAATGTCTTTGATTTTTTTAAAAAAATTTAATTTAAAAAATTTTGATTGCAAACACTAACTCTGGCTGGCCAAATATAATTTATTAAATAGGTAGAAGAAGCATGCCATTGTGTCTGGCTGGAGGCAGAAAGGTGCGCACAAAAGAGTAGTTGAGGACATTTTAAAGAAGGGACTGGTTAGAGTTAAGAGAATTTACAGGGGATGGAGCAGTACTCAGAACTAGCAGCACTATTCACCCCCAGGTCTGAGGAACAAGGAAAGAGTAATAGAAGGAGGGAGCCACCTGCCAGGAGTCTTAAGTAGAGGGAAGCTGCCAACCCATAGCCCAGCAGGCAGGAAACCAGGAAAATAAATACCTCAAACCCCCTCTCCTGCCCTTGGATCTCCTGCCAGTCCCTCCCATCAGCTGAGCCCAGCAGAAGCCAAAGAGTTTTGTGTTCTACCAGGGCCAGCCTCCCAGGACACAGAGCAGGATGAAGAAGAGTGGAGAGTGGCTCTGGAGGGGTGACATTCTTCAGCCCAGTCCTAGGACTGAAGGAATCGCTGCATAACAAAAACAAGGTCTGAAAGGTTTCAAGCACACAGCAACCAGGGCCAACACCTGTCAGATTCAGCCAGTAAGATACAAGCACCATTTGATTCAGACAGGTTACTTACATCAAAAGCAGAAGGAAGATTAGCCAAAAAGTGCCAGTTCCAGGAGGTCCTTGTTGTACACACAAAAAAGATGTCATGGAAATCAAAGGGTTGATGACTGCAGCACCAGTTGTGGGATATGCTGTGGCTGAGGAGCCAGTTCTACACGCAGCTAAGCTGTTCTGTAGTCTGCAACTCTACTTGGAGAGAGATGGACCAAAAAGCCTCATTCTTCAATCAGAGCCTAGGAGGTGATATCTCCTGATAGTCTCCTGTGGGATAAGAAGGGTGGGCATGGCCTTGAGGTAGCACCTCACAAGCCTCCCATCCTCTCCTGTTCCTGGAGCATCTCTCAGGCTGTCAGTCAAGCCTTTGCCTGTGTGGCCTATGTGGATACTTGCCGCGGCACCATAATGGAGCTCTTCCCCCTGAAGGCTCTCAGGTGGCTTCACTGACCTCAAGTCTGGAGAGCTCTCTAAACTTTTCGAGTCCAAAGCACCAGGTCTCAGGTGACTGGGTTCTCAACCATGTTCTCTCTCCCAGTGTTCAGATTCTCGGTAGAGAATTCAGCTGGACACCATCAAATATGGCCAGGAGTAGGCTCACCATGAACATTCATGGGCTCTGGCCCCCCTCCATGTGCAAGGCAGCTTTTAGGGATGGGCTGAACCCGTCTGGTTCCAACTTGCTTCTGCTTTAAGGTAGTGTCATTTCCATCTCATCTCACAGAGAGGGAAGTCGAGAGTCTTTAAGGACAGAGCAGTGATGGAATGGTTGATGTGACTCTAACCACAAAACAATGGTCAGTGGGTGGAATCAAGCTCTGGTCCCACTAGAGGTTGGAGACCCAAGAATAAAGCAATTCTGGACAGCAATTAATATTTGCAAATCAATCAAAGAGAAGTAGGGATGGGAAGGTGGAGGTGAGTGGAGGTGAGCAAAGGGCAGGGAAAAGGGGAACACCTGCAATTTTGTCAACATTAAAAATAATTAAATTAAAAATATTTTTTTAAATAAAGAGAAATAATGTCAAATTTATTGTCTTTGAAGTTATTTTAAGTTCACAATGATAATGAAAAAATTATGGATGGGAATGTTTCCACCCTCAGATGGAGGAGTAAGCAACAAGCATGGTAGGAGGGACCAAGGGAAGCCCAAGGCCAGAAGTTCTGCTGGTTAAGAAGCAGATTAATAATCTAACAATAGGTAAATAAACATGTTGTTAGCTGATGGGAACTGTGGTCCTTTTCTCCATATCACTAAATGTTTCCAGGGTCACAGAGGCATGAAGACCATCCAAAGAGTTGCTGGACCCAGCAGAATCCTGGGGACCCCAGCAGAATCATCTGGGCATGGGAAGGGCCCATGAGCAGGCAGCCCCATGAGCACCCCTACAGCTTGGTGGGCTGTGGAAAACTGAGATGACTAGGCCCACTGGGTGGGGGCAGCACCATGGGCAGTGAGTTGCTGCCCCTTTCATGCCAGCATGTGTCCAGGATGGGGTAGAGCTTGCCCTGGAAGTCAGCCTGGAATGTGTAGAGTGGTCGCAGGTCATCCGGGCGGTCAGCATCGAAGAAGGTGAGCTCTCCCTGCTCATAATGCAAATAGACGCCAATGCGGTGGGGGTGTCCGGCCACGGGCAGGGGCACCCTCGGGCAGCCAAAAGCCTCATACACCCGGCCCTCCTTCAAGCCAATGAGCCATATGCCATGCTCGGGGGACTTGCTCAGCTTGCCCTTGCGACTGGCAGTGCCCTTGATGACGCCCAGGCGCCAGTCACTCTTGATGCCCACCACCACCTCCCAGTAGTGGCGGCCACAGGAGAAGCCCCGGCTGGCCAGGACACAAGTGCTATAGTCAAAGCGCTCAGGCTGGCTGGCGCACCGCTGGGCCAGGAGCCCACACTGCACCACTGTGTTGCCCTTGGAGAGTTCCAGGAGTGGGTGGGCTGTGGCGGGATCCAGCTTGAGAGACTCCGGGGCTAGGAAAGATCAGAGAAGGCAGTTTTCAAAAGGCAGCAGACCCTGCTCCAAGAAAGGTTGATTGGAGGCCCTGAGCTCCTCAGGAGAGGAACTGCACTGGCCTCATCTCTGTATCCTTGGGGCCTAGAAGGGACCAGGCACAGAGTAGGCACCCTTTGGTTGTTGGCTGAATGAATGAATGATGCCTGAAGGGTCGAAAAAATAAACAGCTGTGAGCCGAGACCTTCTTGTAAGGGACATGGTATAGACCTGCGTAAGGTAGAGGAGCTGATGGAAGGACCCGGAAGACAGCCTGTCATGTGTGGTCCACAGCTAAACTCTCCAGGTTTTCTGGAGAATCCGTAACAACTGCACTTGGTTTCTCTGATATCCTAAGCAGCCTATTCAAGGACAAACTCCCAAATGACTTCTTTGCTAGCTGCCAGCTAATCAGTTTACACCAAACATGTGCAAACAACATTCAGAGTTCAGAATGTTTCTCTCCCCCGCCCCCTTTTCTATTATATAAACCCTGTATGTGTTTGTGGGATGAAATCAGTCTATTGTTGATAGCCTTTATGTTCCAGTAATGAAGACGATAATGAAATGCTGAGTATTTTTTGATAAAGTAACAGCTACATTTATTAAGCACTAAACTACACACACACACACACACACACACACACACACACACACACACATAAATATGCAGCCTAGGAAGGTGGAGGTTAATAGCCCTTTATAGGTGAGGAAACAGAGACTCAGAAATTATACAACTTACCCAGTTAGTAGGAGCTGGAGCTGAGTTTGACCCAAACTGTTGGGTGGATCCCCTTTCCCGTGCTCTCCCCACTAGCCCATGCAGACCTCCCAGCGCTCTGTACTTTCACCAACAGTCTTCAGGAAGGAGGATGGGATGGGGCCGCACCTGGCAGAACCTTGCGGAAGAGCCTTTTCCACACAGTCAGCTTGATGTCAGCCTGGTGGAGGCCTGGTTTGAAGGAGATGGGGTTGAACGTGTTTTCCAAAGGTCGGGCCGGCTGGAGCTCTGCTCTGGAGGCAACAGGGTGCAGTGTTGGCAGAGCTGTGTACCATGCACCCTACCCATAGGCAAGTCCCATTCCAGCTCAGCAGGTGTGCACTCAGTTTCATCATTTCCTCCCCTCCACCTCCTTCTCCGAGGGCCCGCCTCCTTCCGGGAAGAGGAAATACTCTACATCAGTGGTTCTCAAAGTGCAGGTCCTAGACCAGTAGCATCACCTGGAAGCTTGTTAGAAATGCAAATTTCCTTGGGCAGCACCCCAGACCTGCTGAATCAGAAACTGATTACTGGGGCCCAGTGATGGTGTATTATGAGCCCCTTGGGTGATTCTGGTGCAGCCTTACATCTCAGGACCACTTCTCTGTAATGGATGACCCTGACACGGAGCCAACCAGATTCTCTGTCCACCCATTTAAACGGGTGTTCCCAATCAAATTGTCCTGGAAACTAAAGAAAATCTGAGGCTCTGGCCAGGTAGAACATTGTCCCAATATGCCAAGGTTACAGGTTCAATCCCTGGTCAGAGCATACCAAGAATCAACCAATGAATGCTTAAATAAGTAGAACAACAAATTTATGTTCCTCTCTCCCATCCCACTTCTTCTCTCTCTCTAAAAATCAATCAATCAATAAATGTTGAAGAAAAAAAAAACTTGAGAAACAAGGAGACTCATAAATGGCATATGAGAAAGGCTCAAGAACTGCATGGACTGTTCACTTGTCGAGACTAGAACATGGATCCAATCCCTTTACACAAGCCGAAGTGCAGATGTCAAGGCCCCTCATTCTCCCACCCCATTTCCCACGTCAATCTGTGTATGATTCACAGCCCAGCAATACGGAACTTCTCATAATACTCTCAAGTCCACATACTACTTTGCCCTGTCAAGCTATTTGGCTTGCCTGGCAAACTCCTATCCTCTCCCTTCTCAGCTGCCCGACCTATACACTATCTTTGCCAATTTCCCTCCACAGTCACCTCCTCCTTTGTGTATTTCTGTAGCTTCTATCGTTCTAGATACCCACCATGACGTAACCACAGTTCACTAGCCCCCTTCCACCGGGCTGCAAAACCCCTGAAGGCAGGGACCTGACTTCATCTTTGTTTTCACCTGCCCCAAGTACAGAGCCAGATGTGGCCAGCGGCTCCTGAGGCACTGGTGAAACTGAGGGGAGGAACTAATAGAGAAGAGATGCCTGTGCCCGCAGCACCCTCCCAAGTTATTACCTGGAGGCCATGGAGTGGTACTTCTGGAAGACAAGAGAGAGGTAGGTCAGGGCATGGCAGCGGCTATGCAAAAGCCCCCACTTAGGAGAGGGAGGCTCTTGAGGCCCTGAGGGCCTGAGCCACTCACCCGGATGAAGTCATGGTGATTCTCATTACCAAACTGCTCCAGCACACACTTGGCTTGGACCAGCCGCTCCCGTGTGCGGTGGGCCTGCTCCAGCTGCATGTCCAGGGAGGCCACAAGGCCACGGGTGTGACCTTCCACCCCTTCCAGGCAGCGGGCCTTCTCCTCGTCCACTAGGTGGTGCAGTTCCTGGAACTCACGGCGGATCACCCAGCTGAAGACATCGGATTCGTTCTAGAACAGGGAGGGCCTGTCATGGCTGGTACCCAAACCCCAGGGCCGAAATCCTGCCCACCCGTTCACAGTGTGCCTGGAGGCCCCCTGGGGACATGGGAGTGGGCAACAGTGGCAGGGCAGAGGCAGGGTCCCCAGTTCCCATTTCAAAGCAGTGGCTCTGCTTTCACTGTCTTAACTATTTTTAAAAAAATATATATTCCATTGATTTTGTACAGAGAGGAAGGGAGAGAAAGAGTTAGAAACATCGATGAGAGAGAGAGTCATTGATCAGCTGCCTCCTGCACACCTCCCACCGGGGATATGCCCACAACCAAGGTACATGCCCCTAACCAGAATCGAACCCGGGACCTTTCAGTCCCCAAGCCGACGCTCTATCTATTGAGCCAAACTGGTTTCGGCTCACTGTCTTAACTATTATGTGTGCAAGTGAGATTTTGCTTTAACACAGGGTTTTACAACTGAAAAAAAGCCTGAAAAGTCCCAGAAGAGCCGTATTTGGAGTGAGATAGCCAGGCTTCCCGTGTGACCCCAAGTTTATCTCTGTTGATCAGGGTGATGCTGCCTCCTTCTCAAAAGTGAGGGATGTTCTGGGGATACCGCTGCTGTTTCACAATAACCTGCAGGGCCCGGGCTCTGCACCTCCCCACCCAGTGTGCCTCTCACTAAGGAAAATCAGCCAGCCACCAGGAGCTTCAGGCCTTCCCATGCCTGTGCTGCAAGGTCCTGAGAAGGTGCCACACAGACTGTCAAGGTCAAGCAGACACGAGAGGCAGGGGCTGGGGAGTCATGCCCACACTTGGGGCTGTTTACCTCTGGGACTTAGTTTCTGCCTTATCTCAGTCCCAAGGACTCTAGGAACACAAGCCAACTTTGAGACAGTCCTGACAACTGGGTTGAATTCCCCTGAGATTTGCACCTTCCCCACCCTGCCCTGGAATGCTTTGAATGCTGGCTTTATATGGAAGGCATGGATTCCTGTAAAGGACAAATGAGCACTGGGGCTCTGTAGGAAAGGGAAGGTGGCTGGTCCCAGCGTAGGGGCAGAGGGAAAGGACACTCACAACAATCCGGGTCCTGTTGTTCACCAGCTTGCCGATATGCTCATCCACCTTCTTCTGCTCCTGCTTCAGGTCAGAGATGAGGGTTGCAAGCTCCTCCTAGAGGCAATGTGCCATGGCCCCCGTGAGTGGCTGATCCCTTTAGGCCCTGAGCTTCTTGGGGCCAGCCTTGGGCCTCACACTTCTAGGGAGCATCCCAATGGCCACTAGCACTCCCAGTGGAACCATTTAGGCACCAGAGCTATCCCAAGTGCCCTTGACCTCATAATAGTTAAAATTATTCAAGAATGTTCCATACCGCCGAAGCCAGTTTGGCTCAGTGGTGGAGCGTCGGTCTGCGGACTGGGGGGTCCCAAGTTCGATTCTGGTCAGGGGCGTGTACATTGGTTGCGGGCACATCCCCGGTGGGGTGTGTGCAGGAGGCAGCTGGTCGATGTTTCTCTCTCATCGACGTTTCTGGCTCTCTGTCTCTCTCCCTTCCTCTCTGTAGAACTTCAATAAAATATATTAAAAAAAAGAAAAAAGAAAAAGAAAAGAATGTTCCATACTGATGGTAGGAACTGCCCAGTCAGCAGAGGAACTCTAAGTCATCCCTCTCCTGATGCCAAACGTGTTACAGCCACCTGGAAGTCACTACACAACATCCAAGAGAAGTGATTGCTGGTCTGAAGCCAATATTCCCTGCATGGAATGCTACCTGTAGGCTGCCCACCAGGTAAATTCTCCAGTCACCAGAAAGTCCAGAATCAGTGAGCATTTGATCAAGAGTCATTACAAAAGGACTCTCCCCAGGTGAGGCTAGTAGTGCATGTGGTGGCCCAGGTTATTCCTGGTGAGTCCCTAACACCTTATAAAGATCTGAATCCATCTCTGGCAGGTTTGATCTGAGCCTAGATTTAGGGGCTCCCAAGGGTGAAATAAACTCACTTCTCCTGGTATGCTCTGGCCCCAAATCTGATCTATCTTAGGCGTCCAAGCAGGACCACCTAGACCACAATCTACTCTGCAATAGCTGATTAGGGCCCTATGGGTTTATGCCCATGGCGTGTATTGACTCTCGATTAGAAAATTCCCAAGGAGAAGTCGCCCACAAGAGCCTTTCAGAAAGGGAGCTGGTAAAGAATAAATGGATACAGAGCCCTTGCTCCGGATAAGGAGGCATAAAATTTCACAGCAACCCAAGAAAGGGCATTCCAGTGGTAACCCTCATGAGGCAGAAAGAGATGGGACCAGTTCTTTCTCAGCAGTGGGCCACAGTGAGGGGAAACACAATTGTGGAAATAAAGTATCTCAAGATCTCAATCAACAGGAAAAATCAGGAAAGATGACAGAGATCTGATTAAAAAAAAAACATAATTGAGTCATATCACATAGAAGAATGTTGGGATTACAAAAAACAAACAAAAACCAACCAAACAAAAATAACCCCACATCCAAAACCAGGACCCAAGCTGGGCCCTGACTCTTTGCCAGAAATGATGAGCAAGCTCCCAAGTGTTTCCTTCTCTCTTGGGCAGCCATCTGCTCATAAAACATGGGCTCAATTTCATTATAGTACAATTGGATGCCCTCCTTCCACACCTCCCCAAAACTACTTTTGCCAAGGTAACCAGTTTTCACTGTTAAAGCTGACACTCCTTTGAATCCTCAGCAGACATTCCACACAAGCAATCTTGCTCTGATTAAAATGCTCTGTTCCTGCCAAAACCGTTTTTGGCTCAGTGGTAGAGTGTCGGTCTGCGGACTGAAGGGTCCCGGGTTTGATTCCGGTCAAGGGCATGTGCATTGGTTGTGGGCACATCCCCGGTAGGGGGTGTGCAGGAGGCAGCTGGTCGGTGTTTCTCTCTCATTGACGTTTCTGGCTCTCTATCCTTCTCCCTTCCTCTCTGTAAAATATCAATAAAATATATATATTTTTAAAATGCTCTGTTCCTCTGATTTCTAGGAAGCCAGATGCAGCCAGTGTCCCTGCTTCCTCTATTGATTCTTTCTGTCCCCTTCCTCGGGGTTCCCCCCTCTCCCAAAACCTTAAACGCTGGTGCTCCTTGGAGCATCATCAGTGTCTTCTTTTGTCACTCTGCAGACTCTGACTTCCAATCTCTTATCCCCAGCCTCACTGTCCAATTCGCCCCTTTGGCAAAGGGAGAGGACGCCATCACAACTCTGCTTAAAGACTTCCAGTGCCCAAACCACATCACCATGGTTCTCTGAATAAACTACATATCTCAACACGTGTCACACAGGTCTTCCCATGACCTGGCCCCTGCTTACCTCAGCTGCCCCATCTGGCTCCCATGGGCTTCATGCAATGACTTATAAATCCTCCAATGTGCCATGCTGTTTACCTCCTGGGCTTTTGCATGTGCTGTCATTACACTTGGAATGCTTTTCCTCCCCTTCTTTTCTCACCTAGCTTCCTTGGGATTCAAGTCTTGGTTCAGTAGTCTACTTCCTCCAGGAAGCTTCCCCATCCACCTGAGGCCATGCAGGAGCCATGTTCCTGGAAGTCTCACCTGGAGACTATTTAACTTTGACAGCAGCACCTGACACACCAGGTGATATCCAGTCTGTGAACTCCCCCGGGGCGGCGTGCTGTTTGATGGGCACTACCACCTCACCTCGCACTGATAAGATGCCGGGAAACGCCTGTGGGGAGGTGGGGCTGGCGGATGACCTGGCTGGCCCTGTGCATGTTTCCTACCTGTCTCCCAGGGTTGAAGGAGCAAAGAAATGCTGCCCAGAGCACCTAGCCACCCTGCCTGCAGATCGCCATGTTCTTTCTTTTCTTGACCACGTCACTTTTTATTTTATGTCATTCCTCACTTTTATGCCCACTTCCCCTCAAACACCAGGCCACGAGCCCTATAATAATTCACTTCCAAGGGCCCTTCCTGCCCCCTCTTGATCTGTTGGCAGTGCGAAGAAAACTGGCCTTGGTTGGAGTCCTGGCTCTGCCAGCCAAGCTGTATGACCTTGTCTGAGCCTGTTTCCTCATTTGCAAAATATAACAACCTTTCACAAACCTTAGGTCAACATATTAACCTAAGAAGGTATCACCGTTATTGTTGTTGTTATTATGTTAAATAATGATCTGCTAGATGGGAGAGGCAAAGGTCAGGAGCCACAAATACATTTTGAACATTTACTAAGCCAGGCACGGCTCCAGGCACAAAAATACCCTTAGGGAACACACCAAAGTCCCTGTCCTCATGTGCCTGAGCCTGCAGTCCCAGGAGCGTTCAAGAAACCGACCAGAGCCACAAAGAGAAATAAAGCAGAGAGAGGGCTAGCATGTGACACAGGGCCTCTCCTTCTTTTACCCCTTTAATCCCCAGCACCTGCTCGGCGCGTGGGGTGGGGGTGAGTGGATGCTGCGGAGTCCTGCTCCAGGACAGGGCTGGTGGGAACTCGCTGTCCCAGGGCCCTCCTGCGCCTGCGGTGGCGCCAGGGAGCGCAGAGGCTGGGTTCTGTGGGCCCCGGGGTGACCTGTTTGCCTTCCACCCCCACCCTGCAGCCTCCGGACCCACCTTCATGCGGCTGTACACGGTGGAGACCGGCGTGACCCGGTGGTGCTGGTGGGAGCCCAGCAGGCCGCAGAGGCCACAGATGAGCTCCTGGTCCTTCTCACAGAAGAGGCTGAGCGGGTTGCGGTGCTGCGCGCAGATCTTGGGCTCCGGGTCCCGCGGGAGTCCCAGGGCTTCGATCACACGCACCAGGGAGAGGTTCGGCGGGGAGCTGCTGCCGTCCACCTCCAGCCGGCACACAGGGCAGCGCAGCTCCGAGTCCAGGTGGCAGAGCAGGGACAGCAAGCAGCCTTTGCAGTAGGAGTGGCCGCACTGCAGCATGAGCGGCTCCTTGAAGACCTCCAGGCAGATGGGGCACTGAAGGCGGTCCTCCAGCTCCGTCATGCTCACCAGCCTCGCCATCCACGCTGTGGGCGGTCACACGGGGCCTCTCTGAGCCGGCTCCCTGTACTCCCGCTGCCCACAATTCCCTGGAAAGGGCCTCTGGAAATTAGAGGTCTTACCAGACTCCGGTCCTGGATTCCAGTCCTGACCCTCGATAACCAGTCCTGACCCTCGATAATCTTGGGCCTGTTTAAAACAAAGGGCTTAAGTGTGTGTGTGGGGGGGGGGGGGGGGGCGGGCCAGGGGAGGTTACTTTGAGATATATGATTCTAACTTATTTAAACTCAGATTTGGAGGTAAACATGAAAGCATCATTTATATAGATGACATCATTTGCCTGACCTAGAAATGGACGGCAAAAACAAGCAAAGGTCCTTCCCACCTCCTAGATAAGTGTTTACATTGGCGAGCAATGTTGGAATCCTAGTTAAAAACAGAGATTCTTGAGTCACCCCTTCCGACATCTCCAGTGAGACCCAGAAATGCATTTACATTAGACTCTCCCAGGTCATCCTAAAGTGGAGTTCTGTCTCAGAACAACATTGTTCCGGACAGTCTGGGACTTACGAAAGCTGTATCTCAATCTCCCACCCTGTTCCTCTTTGAAAACTGATTGGCTCTGAATGAGAGAAGCTACAAGTCAGCAGCAGAGCCAAGAAGAGGACTCCCCTCCCCTCCCTATCCGCCCCTCCCCACTCCCCCCACCCCCCATCCCGCACCCCCTCCAGCCTTGGAACTACCTGGCTTCTTAGAATCCACTGAGCCACCCACCAGGGCCTCAGACCAGCATCACTGACCTGATGGGCTTGGCCTCTTCTCCTCAGGACAGAATAGCAGGAGCAGAGAACTGAAGATTGCAGCTGGACGCTTGCTCCACCACCTTGTCACTACCCTTTCCTCCTCCCCTTTCCCAGCAACACCCCCATGTCCTCAAGGTCACCCAGAATCAGGTGGAAATTGGGTTGCATCACGGGATGGGGGAGGCAGCCTGATAACTGTAACGTTCAGGTGCTTGCTTTAGCCAGGCAAGGGGAAGGGGTGCAGACAGAGAGACTGGGTACCCAGTCACACCTCACAGACCCCAACGGGGCAGATTTGTGCTTCAACACAATCTTTCTGAATCTCTCTCATTAAAAATATTTTTATTTACTTATTTAGATGTTTTAATTGGGGTATAGCTTCTACAAAGGGCTCAAATCTTAACCACACACTTAAACAATATATAATCACTCTCAAGATCAAGATACAGAATATTTGCAGTACCTCCTCGCGCTGCCCCCTAGTCAGAACGTCTAACAAGAATAGCTGCTCACATGACTGATATCATTGCAGATTAATGTGGCCCAGTTTTGAATTTCAAATGAACAGAATCAAATAGTATGTGCTCTTTCGTGTCTAACTTCTTTATTCAGTATGCATTAAGAACTTTTATATGTAGTCTTTCAAAGGTTTAGAAGTTCAGTGACATTTTGTTATGTAGTTAATAATATACTATGTATGCTGGATATGTGATATACAGGTCATAGGAACACTATACATACCCCAGGGGTGTGGTGGGAAATTACTGATGGGAAAGGGTAGGATGGAGAGGTTTCTGGGAGTGTTAAGAAACAGGAGCTCTAGAGCTTCTGGCGGCAGAGGCTGGGGAAGCAGCAGCAGGTGCCATGTCTTGCCTCAAAGGTGGCAAGAAGAAGCCCCTACAGCAGCTGAAGAAGCAGGCCAAGGAGATGGATGAGGGTAAGGCATTCAAGCAAAAGCAGAAAGAGGAGCAGAAGAAACTCAGGGAATTAAAAGCAAAAGCCGTGGGCAAGGGTCTCCTGGTCACAGGTGGGATGAACAAATATAGCAAATAGTGAATTGTTCTGTGTGCCTGGGGCAATGGTGATCCTTAATTCCATTCCTGTTTTAACTTCTGGATTCCCTGTCATACCATCTGTTGCCATCTAGAGCTAGTTGGAGCCTATGGTATATTTAAGAATTAACTTTTGTAGCCAAAGCCGGTTTGGCTCAGTGGTAGAGCGTCAGTCTGCGGACTGAAAGGTCCCGGGTTCGATCCCGGTCAAGGGCATGTACATTGGTTGCGGACACATCCCCAGTAAGAGGTGTGCAAGAGGCAGCTGATCGATGGTTCTCTCTCATCGATGTTTCTAACTCTCTATCTCTCTCCCTTCCTCTCTGTAAAAAAATCAATAAAATATATATTTAAAAAAAAAAGAATTAACTTTTGTAAATAATAATATACACTAATAAAAGAGAAACATGCAAATTGACCATCCCTCTGCTATGCCTACTGGCCAATTAGAAGCAAGTATGCAAATTAACCCAACAAATACGTCAGCCGACGTGGAGTTGGAGCAAGCAGGAGGCTTGGGTTGGCCCTGGCAATGGAGAAAGTTAAGCTTCCCACCTGCCCTGATTTCCACTCAAGGAGGGGCTAGGGGACTGGGTTGCCAGGGGGGCGTGGCCAGCCTGAAAATAGCCCTCAGCCCCTTACCCCACAAAAGGGACCCTCACCCCATGGGGGTGTGGCCAGCCTGCAAACCACCACAGGCCTCTTGTCCAGGCTGCCCCACACCCCAAGGGAGCCCCCACCCTGATCTGGGACACTCTTCAGGGAAAACCAGTTGGCCCCCACCCATGCACCAGGCCTCTATCTATACTAATAAAAGGATAATATGCTAATTAGACTGGAGACCTTCCAGGAGACCTTCTGGATGTTCTTCTAGACAAAGCCATGGTGGCAGGGCTGAGGTAGAGATGTTTAGAGGCCAAGAGGGAAGGGCAGTTGTGGGTGATCAGGCCAGGATGGGACAGCAGTTCTGGGTGATCAGGCCAGTGGGGGAGGCCATTGGGGGTGATCAGGGCAGCAAGGGGGGGCAGTTGGGAGTAAGCAGGCCAGCAGGGGGGCAGTTAGGGACAAGCAGGCCAGTGAGGAGGGCAGATAAGGGTGAGCAGGCCAGCAGGGAGAGCAATTGGGGGCGATCAGCCTAGTGGGGAGGCATTTGGGGGCAAGCAGGCTGGCAGGCAGAGTGGTTAAGAGCAATCAAGCAGGAAGGCAGATGAGTGGTTAAAAGCCAGCAGTCCCAGATTACGAGAGGGATGTCTGACTGCTGGTTTAGGCCTGATCCCTGTAAACTGGCAGTAGGACATCCTTCGAGGGATCCCAGATTGGAGAGGATGCAGGCTGGGCTGAGGGACACCCCCCCTCATGCACAAATTTTATGCACTGGGCCACTAGTGATCATCATCATCATCATCATGCAATGACACATCGCTTTAGTTCTTTTCACTCAATCATTTCAACTGAGCTGTGAGGTCAGAGTAAGCCCAGAATCCTGCTAAAGTGTGTTCTTTGGTCTTTGTATTGATAGTATCCAAAATTCAGTACCACCTGGCATTAAACCAACTCATTTGAAGAGAGAGAGGAAGGGAGGGAGGGAGAGAGAATGGGAGGGAGGGAGGAAGAGAGGGAGAGAAATCTAGAACAGGAGCTCTATAAAGGAAGAAAGAGAGAGAAAGAACGAAAGAAAAAGCTCTAGAACATCAGGCCACAACTCCCACAGTCCTAAGCACCCATGTCTGCCAGCAGGGGTGATCTCCACCCCAGTGTCAAGCGAGACTAAGGTCTGGTATAGGTAAATAGCAAGCTAATTTTATTTGTTAATTCAAGAAATAATTATTGAGAACCTGCTATGCATCAAGCACTGAGCTGGGTATGAGGCATACATTAAAGAACAAGACAGACAAGGTTTCTGTCCTTTTGGAGTTTATGATGCATGGAGGTAGGAGTGGTGTAAGGTCATAAACAAACAAGTTAATATAATAGATTTAAATGCTATGCAGGAAGTAAACACTGTGATGGAAAGTAGGATGGGGTGACAGGATGAGGTGCACTTGAGCAAGGGGCAGGGCAATGTCTTTGCCGAGGCTGGAAGGATACACAGAAGCCGGCCACCTGAAAAGATTCAGGAGGGTAGACCAGGCACTGGGTCTGCAAGTGCCAAGGCCCTGAGGCTGGAAAGCACATAGAGAGGAGACGTGTGCAGCTGGAGCACAGTAAGAGAGAAGAAATATCAGAAGGTGAGGCCAGAGAGGCTGGCAAGGAGGGCTGTGTAGACTAGGGCCAAGGTCTGGATTTCATTTCAAGGGCAGTGGGAGCTGTTGAAGAAACCGGTTTTAAGGAAAGGGAATATCATCTCATTTATATTATTAAAATATCATTCTGGCTGCTGCATACATAATGGATCACAGTAATGTGAGCACTAGGTGGGATGGATAATGAAGCTGAATGACTGATACAGAGAAGAATGATGTAAACAAAACACAAGGGGGATCCAAAGTCAGAAGCCTGAGGACATCCAGGTGGAGGAACTGAGTAGCCCACCTGGTCAGCAGACAAATGTCCAGGCCTGACTGCAGAGTTTCTGACTCAGGAGTCCATGGAGGGACCCAAGAAATTTGCATTTGTAGCAAGCACTGATGCTACTTTTGAGAACCATTAGAAAAGGCAGTTGGACACAGGCGCCTGGAACAGTGGCACTTGGGAGGCTCTAGGCTAGCCAGGTATGTGCCACCTGTTTTATAGCACATATTTAAACAAATGGCTGGGATCTCTTAGGGACTGAAAGCAGAGAAGGGCAGGAATCCTAGGATGGCCCTGAGGTTGCTGACCTTTCGAGGTCAGGAAGGGGAGGATGGCTAAGAAGGTAAGAGGGACATCAGGAGAGTGTGGTGATTAGGAAACAGTGGGAGCTAGAATGCCCCCACCCAGAGATATCCGTGCCCAAATTCCTGGACCTCGGAGAACATGTTACCTTAAAAGGCCAAAGGGACTTTGAAGATGGAATCACGGTCATAAATCTGAATTATGCAGGTGGGTCCAATTTAATCACGTAACCCCTTACCAGCAGAGAACTTTCTCTGCTGGAGTCACAGAGAGATGCCACAGAAGAGGAAGCAGGAGGATAGCAAACATAAGCACTTGGCACCCTGTTGCTGCCTCTGCGACGGGGCCCATA